GCAGGATCTCTTCGCCTGCATGGTTCACGGATTGATTGACGAATACCACTGTTATCATGAATATCCCTTGGAGGCATTGACCAAAACGGCGGTCATGTTTGGTGGTATCATCAACTTCCGCCTGGTTGACGGTATCACGCTGAAGGTCGGACTGGGTATGATTCTGGAGGCGGTGCGAGAGCATGAGGTTCATGATCCCATGTATAAATTCGGTGTCGAGGCGATTGAGCAACTGATTAACCGCCTTCCCGAATGGGCTGGCTTCTGCCACCTTCTGCTACAAATCCCCAGTTTGCAGGGCACCACGATCTTCCAGAAGGCCGAGGAAGTTCTGCGCGAACAAGGAAGCCAAGTTCGAGATGACGGTGGTAGAGTCGAGTCTATTGCTGGACCTTCAATGAATGGCAACCTCGAGGAAACTGTGACGTCTGATGGAGCTGCCCGCAAGTTCGTTTCCGTGCATGTGGATTCCCCTCTTCGACCAGAAGTCTACTCGGATCCAGACGAGGACATACAGGACAAGATCCTCTTTGTTTTGAACAATGTTTCCGAGCAGAACATTGATGAAAAGCTTCGTGACCTGACTGATGTTCTTCGTGACCAGCATCACCAGTGGTTCGCTGCTTATCTCGTGGAGGAACGGGCCAAGCTGCAGCCTAATTTCCAGCAGTTATACCTGGATCTTCTTGATCGCATCAACGACAGGATGCTGTGGGCTGAGGTTCTGCGAGAGACATATGTCAGCGTATCCAGACTGTTGAACTCCGAGGCCACAATGAATTCATCCACTGACCGAGGGCACCTTAAGAATTTGGGTGCATGGCTGGGTTCTCTGACGATAGCGAAAGACAAGCCCATCAAGCATAAGAATGTTTATTTCAAGGGGCTTCTCCTAGAAGGGTACGACAGCCAGCGTCTGACGATTGCAATCCCTTTCACCTGCAAAGTGCTTGTTCAAGCCACCAAGTCTACGGTCTTCAACCCTCCCAACCCTTGGCTAATGGACATCCTTGCTTTATTGATGGAGCTGTACCATTTTGCTGAGCTGAAATTAAACCTCAAGTTCGAGATTGAAGTCCTATGCAAGGACCTTGATCTTGATCACAAGAACATCGAGCCGTCTGTCATCATCCGCGACCGTTCCGCTCATATCGAGGACGCGTTGTCTACAGCTAACATTCCTGATGGGCTGGAAGCGTTTGAGGACATGGCTCTCAGCACCCTCAACCAAGGCATTCGCCACGAGAGACTTTCTCCTGCTGCCATCATGTCAACACTCCCGAGCTTGGACAAGATCCTTGTCCTTCCATCGACAGCTAGCAGCATGATTGATGCGAATGTTCTTCGTCAAATCGTCCACAGCGCTGTGGAACGTGCTATTGCAGAAATTATTACACCCGTGGTAGAACGCTCTGTCACCATCGCGTCAATTTCCACCGTTCAACTAGTGTCCAAGGACTTCGCTATGGAGCCCGACGAGGAAAGGGTGCGACATGCAGCAGGAATCATGGTCAGGCAACTTGCCGGTAGCTTGGCTCTGGTCACTTGCAAGGAGCCTCTCAAGGTCAGCATGACGAACTACATTCGGATGATTCAGCAAGAATACTCCGAGCAGCCCATGCCCGAGGGTCTCATTCTTATGTGCGTCAATGACAACCTCGACGCCGCGTGTGGCATTGTCGAAAAAGCCGCCGAGGAGAAATCTCTGCCGGAGATTGAAAAGGTCATTGAACCTCAGTTGGAAGCTCGTCGCCGCCACAGGGCTGCCCGCCCCAATGAACCATTCATTGACCCTTCTATGAATCGCTGGGGCCTATTTATCCCTGAACCTTACCGGCAAGGCGCTGGTGGCCTCAACAAAGAGCAACTGGCCATCTACGAGGAATTTGCCCGACAAGCACGCGGACCTGCTGCTGTTCACGTGCAAAATGTCTCTACTGACTCTGGTCGGCAGCTTCCAGACGTCCTTCAAGAACCATACTCTCCTATCCCCAACTTATCTACCCCTGCTGAACAACCTGCTGTACCGCACAGGACTCCTCAGGCACAACAAGACGCTCGCTTACAGCAGCCTGGCCTTGTTGGCGCACAATCCCAGCTTAATGGCTTTCTCGAGGCGCAAAGCCCTCGCGAAAAGGTTGAGGCCATCGTGTCGGAACTCCAGCAGGCTGCTCGAAATGCTCCGGAGGAGCGTGTCAAAGATCTTGGCAGAGATAGCACTGTTTTGCAGGAATACAACCAAGCACTCCGTACAATCCTCGCTTCGCCGAACGGAGAAGAGTTGGCCAGACTGACATGCCTGCGAATTTGCACCAGCCTGTATGCGCAGACTCCAAGCACATTGGAGATTGAGGTTCTTGTCCATTTACTTGCGAAGCTGTGTGACATGTCGACTCTAGTTGCACGTTACACCTGGGCAGTCCTATCCGAGGTCGATGATGAGCATATGTTCCACGTTCCAGTCACCGTTGCTCTCATTGATGCGGGTCTTTTGGACATCCGTCGTGTCGATATGATCCTGACGCGGCTTATCCTCGACAAGAGAATCCCTGCTCTGGAGGTTCTCTCCAACCTGATGGACCGCGTTCTTTTCAGCGAAGAACCTTCCGCCCTGAGATCTGACTTCTCCGGCAGTTTGGAAGCCATGAGCCAGTGGCTTGCAGAAGACTCCAACCTTTCAGTAGCAAATGAGATTATTCGCAAGCTGCGCGAGTCCGGCATTCCCGAAGTTGTCAATCCTCTTCTCAGTGACAAAGCGAGATCCAAACGAGATCAGATGGAGTACATCTTCAGTGAATGGATTGGCATCTACAAGGCTCCTGGCGCAATCGACCGCACCTATTATTCGTTCTTGAAGGACTTGCATCAAAGACAAGTTATGGATAATCAAGAAGATTCTGCTTTGTTCTTCCGTCTGAGCATTGACATCTCGGTAGCAATGTTTGACCACGAGTCGCAAAACCCCAGTGGTAGCCTCGATGAAGCATTCCTCTACATTGACGCTTTAGGCAAGCTTGTTGTCTTGCTCGTCAAGTTCCAAGGAGAGTCGGCAGGTGCCGCAAAGACAAGCAAGTCTGCTTACTTCAACTCGATCCTATCGCTTCTCGTGCTTGTGTTGAACCATCACTATGTTATGCGAGGTGAAGCTTTCAACCAGCGCGTTTTCTTCAGGTTGTTCTCCAGTATCCTTTGTGAATACTCCATGAACGGACTCCAGCATAGCGATCAGCACCAGGATATGATGTTTGCTCTGGCCAACAAGTTCCTCTCCCTCCAGCCTAAATACTGCCCTGCTTTCGTCTATGGATGGCTTTCTCTCGTCTCTCACAGATTCTTCATGTCTGGTATGCTGAACATGCCGGAACGGGCAGGCTGGGGACCCTACTGCGAGATTATGCAGGCTCTCCTTTCTTACATTGGCGAGCAGCTGAAGCCGGCAACCATTTCCTATGTGGCCAAGGATCTGTATAAGGGCGTCCTTCGAATCCTGCTCATCTTGCACCATGACTTTCCCGAGTTTGTGGCAGAGAATCATTTCCAATTCTGCAACGTCATTCCTACTCATTGTGCTCAACTTCGCAATCTTGTTCTCAGCGCCTATCCCTCCTCGTTCCACAAACTTCCGGATCCGTTTAGAGAAGGTCTCAAGGTGGAACGTTTGGAGGAAATGCGGGAGGCTCCAAGAATTGCAGGCGATATCGCTGCCCCGCTGCACCATGCGAATATAAAGAGGGTCGTTGACAGCGCGCTCCAGACCACCGCTGTGCCCGAATCATCAATTCAACAAATTAGCGATGCAGTTTACAACCCTCCGACCAAAGAATCCGGTCTCTTCTATGACCCAATCAACGTCAACGTGGTGCTGCTGAATGCTCTCGTCCTCTACATTGGGCAGAACGCTGTATCTGCCAACAACTCTCAGGGCAACACTCGGGCGGCATTCGAGAATTCTGCTCATGCTTCTCTTTTGGAGAGTCTTGCGAAGGCTTTGCGTCCGGAAGCACGGTACTACCTGCTGAGTGCCATGGCCAATCAGCTGAGGTACCCCAACAGCCACACTTACTTCTTCAGCTTCGCTATCCTCCGTCTCTTTGGTGCCGATAACTCCGAGCAGGATGAATCCGACATTCGCCAACAGATCATCCGTGTTCTTCTTGAGCGACTTATTGTCCACCGTCCTCATCCCTGGGGACTGATCATCACCCTCCAGGAGCTGCTTCAGAACCGAAGCTACACCTTCTTCCGCCTTCCTTTTATTCAGGCTGCGCCTGAGGTAAGTTCCCTCGTCTGCTGCCAAGTAGGTGGCATTATCGCTAATTATGCTGTCCAGATCGGTCGTCTCTTCGATGCTCTGTTGCAGCACATTCAACAGCAGAGCCCGCGGGCGATGGCATAGACCTTCACGGGCATCTTCTCTCGATTACTTTCTCATATTATATTAACATGACGTATTCTATCATGCCTCGATGTCTTGCATTTGCCGAAACGACTTTCTGTCATGGTGTTTTGTCTGTGCCGCTCACGACATGTAGCACCAAAATACGGATCTTTCCTGGGGTGTATGATTTGAAAGGGTTTCTTTATCTGGTGGCTTGCTTGTTTAATTTATTTGCTTTTTCGGTTGGGTTCTGGGAGAGGTTGCATTTCTAGGACTTGTAAACATGTTTCAACGCTATATGGTACTTACATTATTTTCCCCTTCTGCCTCTATCCTTCTTCTTCTCTGTGTTGTCTATCTTATTTTGGTGATGCTCTTTTTTATAACTACTTTTCACAGTGGTCTGTAACAATACGCGGCGATATAAAGTATGATCCTCTGGGTTATTGTGTGCATGCTGTCGGTAGTCACCACTATAATGCCTTGTGCAGCTTTTTAAGTTGTTGGTTGCTTGCATGTTTACTCCCGTAGAATTTATTGTGATGTACGGAGTACGGAGTAGCTTGTCCCACCATAAACAAGGCGGAAAGCATCCACCGCCCTGGTTGTCACCCGATTACGTCGCCGCGCTCTTTCCATGCTTTCCCCTCATCAATGCACCCCTTCCTCGGCTCAAACTTCTCAGACTTGAAGCTATGGATGTTAAGCGTGTATTAGATGAGGAGCCAGAGCATGGGACAGGCGCTGTCTCGAGGGCCATGGTGAGAATGTCCCCACTAATCTAACTACTGACGTGGGCGCATCAGCTAACGCGACAATTGTCTAGAATTCGATGGCAGAGACAGTGCGTCCACTTTTGTCTAAGCAGGCTCAAAAAGCCTACCTGGGCACTCTGCTTTTTGTTCTGACAGCTATATGCATGGTGTTCATCTCTGCATTTGCGTATGCGATCTTCTATTACAACTTCATCCCGCAGGTCGGGCTAGAGCGCATTGTTCACATGCAGTTCGAGTGCGTCCAAGACCCAAGGCTCAAGTTGATTCTTAGGTGCCTTAGTGAGGCAGCTGCCGGAAGGAGTATTTGTGGCTGACTGTCTTCTTGCTTGCTCGTAGTGATGGCCATCCCTGGGGAGTCGCGTCCTTGGGTTCGGATTTGGTATCTCTGCAGATGTATGATGTGCAGGTAGAGCTTGAGCTACCACGGACCCCCTCAAATGTCGCTGCTGGTAATTTCATGCTTGACCTGGCGCTCTACTCTCCGCCCTCAACATCTGCAGAGACGGGGTTGAATACGTCGACTACCCTGCTCTCCCAATCGCGCCGCTCTGCTATTCTCACTTACGCCTCCCCTCTGGTCGACACAGCGAACAAGCTGGTGTTGATGCCATTCTACGTGCTTGGATGGAATCGAGAAGCAGAGAAGTTGCGGGTCGGCATGCTAGAGAAGGTTCAATTTCCCCGTGGGCAACGAAACGTCCCGTCCAGTTTGCGCCTGGAGATTCATAGTGCGGAGAAGATGCAAGTTTACAGGGCTAGGGTGACGTTCAAGGCGACATTCACTGGTCTACGGTATGCTTCGCTCGCTTCTTTGCAGCAGCCTGGCCTATTCATTCTCAGACTAACAATGGCTTAGGTGGGTAATGTACAATTGGAGGCTCACGTCCTTCGTCATCTTTGGCTTCATGTTCTGGAGCGTTTCCATGGTGACTGCGGGGATGGTGTGGGCTCTGCTGGCCATCGCCTTCCACCGCCCGAAGGAAGAGGGGAAAGATGTCGTCGTCATAACAGAAAGTGGCAGTGAAGTGCTTGTCAAGTCGGAAGACACTGATGAACCATCCTCTCTATTCGATGTTCCTTCCGAAGCTTCTCATATCAGGGGTACGCAGATCAAGAAAGAGGAAGATCTAGACGATGAGGGGAGCGATTCGATTGGGGATATGGACGAGGATCGTGGCGCAGAGTCATCGGATGTTTCAGGGACTGGAACTGGACTCGAAAGTGCCCATGCACGAGGGATTCAGCGACGACGGAGTCATCTCACCAGGGCACACTCCTAGCAATGGCCATATTCGCTTGTGTAATAATCAGTCGATACCCACTGCAGACATGTGGCTTGATCAATTTGAATTGGATGAACTGCAAAGCTGGATTGAGTTAGTTCATGATGACCATAATTGTTAATTAGTTAAGTTATCGATAACGAGACAAATCGGAGCGGCAGGTGGATCCAGCCTGGTTCCAGTTCGCAAGGAACGACGAAAAGGCGGGGAAATCTGCCGTGATCTCTCTCCTCTGCCTCTCTGCCCCTCTTCTTCACCTTCTTCTACTCAACTCCCGTCGCGCTACCTTTGGTCTTGCTCCAATGCATATTCTAGTAAGCACATCAGCTATCCTGTCTATAGCACGCCATCAGTCTTTATCCATCTCAGTCCAGGCTCACGGGGGTTTTCTACAATAGGTTGTCAACGACGACGGACCGCCGTCGAACCAGTCTTCGCCGTATATCCATTCGCTCGTCGTCTCGCTGCAATCGGCCGGACATACTGTTTCGGTAGTATTACCGCATCAGCAGCGATCATGGATTGGTAAAGCACACCTGGTCGGAGCAGCGGTAAAGCCCACCTACTTCCGGCCTGGGACTTTGCACAAGGACGATGGAACAACTCACGAGTTGCCCCACGGTATGAACGAAGGCGACGACGAAGAATACGACGGCGATGAGTGGATCCTTGTCGACTCGACGCCGGCTAGCTGTGTGCAGATCGGCCTATACCACTACTTTGAAGACCGCGGTCCGATCGACCTGGTCGTTTCTGGGCCGAACTATGGCCGGAACTCGACAGCCCTCTTTGCCATGTCCAGCGGAACGATTGGTGGCGCCATGGAGGCCGCGGTCTGTGGGAAACGTGCTATCGCTCTGTCATACGCATTCAGCTCGCGTCAGCATGACCCCATCGTTATCGCGGAGGCTTCGCGGCATTCGGTCCGGTTGATCGAGTACCTTCACAAGAACTGGGCGGAGGGAGTCGATCTATACAGTGTCAATGTACCTCTGGAGCCTGGTGTGAGCGAGGCCAAGGTTCTCTACACCCAGATGCTCGATAACCGCTGGTCGTCTGGCAGCTGCTTTAAGGCTGTTGAAGCATCTGCCTCGATGGACGGCCCGAGTGCGCATGAGCACAAGCTGCGGGAAGAAGGCGAGGGTGCTGGGAAAGCTCTGGCTGCAGAAGGGAGCAAGCCTTCGATCAAGCGATCTCGCATCCAACACAAGCACTTCGAGTGGGCGCCCAATTTCACGGATGTCTACAGAAGCGTGGATGAGGGTACGCCCGGAAATGACGGGTGGGTTGTGAAGGAGGGAATGACTAGGTTTGTGGTGTTGAGTTCCGTGCTCTTGTCGACTGTTGCTAACCCCTCGCCGCAGTGTGACGCCGTTGAAGGCTAATTTCATGCACACGCCCGGTATCGAAGGGGAGATCAAGCTGTGAGTGATTTGTGTGATTTATTGCGCGGCAGACGAACGGCCGAATCTATACGACCCGAACTGCATTACCTGCACATATCATAGAGAAGAGCTTGCGCGCGCTTGTCAGATATTCGAGAGAGCTAGTCTATGCCTTCGGCGCCTTCCTCTTTTTTTCTTGTCTTTCGCTTCCCTTTCAATTCTACTTGCAGTGCTTTTCATACCGTGGGACGGCCGGGATTCTGATAGATCATGTTCATGTAGACCGGATAATAATGAGCCTACATTATATACCATCGTGGACAGCGACAATCCATACGTCCAGAGTCTCATGGAGCAGGCCCTGCAGCGTCGCCTCGGCGCCGGCCAAAGTCGCACCATCTCCTCCCTGGCCGACCTCCCGTCCCCCTCCGCTCCTGTGTTCCAGTATCGCGAATACGAACGGCTGGATTTCGAGCACGCCATGATGCACTCCTCGTCGTCCCTCGCGAACGCCTACATCATCCGCAAGGCGCTGATCCGCAAACACTACCTATCCAACACCGTCACGAACTGGGTGACCAAGCACCCGGACAGCGTATTGTCCAAGCACTTCAAGTTCGCCTGCGACTTCGAGCTCGACTACGCGGAATTCCTCGACGACGCCCTCCTGGAGGCCTACGAGCTCCGTGAGAGCCTCGAACGCAACGAGACCCTACCGGAGTCCGAGAAGGAATGGTGGATCCTCAAAGCCGGGATGAGCGACCGCGGCAACGGCATCCGGCTGTTCAACAGCGAAGACGGACTCCGCGGGATCTTCGAAGAATGGGATCCTGATTCGGATGACGAGGAGGAAGATGAGGAGGAGGAGGAGGAGGAGGAGGGGAGTGACTCGGGGCGTCCCACCAAGCCCGAGGATGACGACGACGACGACAACGATCACGGCGTGGTCACCTCGCAACTGCGCCACTTCATCGCGCAGCCGTACATCGACCCGCCGCTCTTGCTCCCCTCGGCCGCGAACCGCAAGTTCCACATCCGCACCTACGTCCTGGCCGTTGGCTCGCTGAAGGTCTACGTCTTCCGGGAGATGCTGGCCCTGTTCGCCGCGAAGCCCTACTGCGCGCCCGGTGACGAAGAAGAAGAAGGCGACGGGGTCACGGACCTGGCCCGCCACCTCACCAACACCTGCTTCCAGGACGGCGGCAGCGCCAACGAAGGCAGCGTCCGCCGCTACTGGCAGCTGGACGAGGCCGTCCCGGGCCTCGCGCCGGACTGGAAGGAAACGCTCTTCGATCAGATCTGCGCCGTCACCGGCGAGGTCTTCGAGGCCGCCGCCCGCGGCATGATGGTCCACTTCCAGACCCTCCCCAATGCCTTCGAGCTGTTCGGCGTCGACTTCCTCGTCGATCACACCGGCAACGCCTGGCTGTTGGAGCTGAACGCCTACCCGGATTTCGCCCAGACCGGCGAGGAGCTGAAGGATCTGGTCGTGGGGCGTCTGTTCGAGGAGACGGTCGATGTGGCTGTCAAGCCGTTCTTTGGGCTTGGGGGGGAGGCGACGGCGGCGGTCAATGGGACGGACTCGATGAGGCTGGTTGCTGATTTGGAGTTGGGGCGGAAAGATTAGGATAGAGGATGAAGAGGAAGCCAGAGGTGTGTCTGTGTGTACTTTGCTAGAGGCGTTCGCGTGAGGGTTGTTGGATATATGGACGAGGGTTTTAAAACAAAAGTTTGAAGGGGGATATTTAGACGTGGAAAGGAGTTTTGCTTTTCTGGGGCCAGTACATACATACATATACTCTAGATAGCACAATCGGATGTATCAGTATAGTGTTCTTGTCATTTCTAGCGAATCTGTATGTGGATCTCCGAATCGAACCGTGAGGGAGCTTCATTCACAGTTCCTTTGGATCCCATCCAAGGCGCGTATGCGGGGGGAGAAAAGAAATCATCACCCAAACCGCTGCTTCGCCAACGTCTTCAACCACCCGATCGTCTCCTCCTCTTTCGCGCGATACTTCTGCAGCCGCTCCTCCCTCTCGGCCGCGCGGGCGCGCATGATCTCCTCGCGCCGCAGCTCCCGCTCATTCTTCTTGCGCTGCTCGCGCTCCCGCGACTTCTTGATCGCCTCCAGCTCGTTCTCCCCGGACCCCATCAGGTCCTCATCCGGCACCGCCGCGGCCCCCGGCGACCCGCCGCGGCGCGCCTCCGCGAACGCCCGGTTCGCCTGCGCCGCCTCCTGCCGCTTCTCCATGCGCCGCTCGTGCGTCCCCGGCTCCGCCCGCGGCGCCACCTCCTCCTGCATATGCCGCAGCTCCGCGCGGTGCGAGCGCACCTCGCTTCGATAGTGGGATTGCGAGTCCTGGCGCGCGGTGAGGGCGTCTTCGCGGGCTTGTTCTGTTTTTTGAAGGGTGGGTTAGTTCACTTGTGGTTTTTAACATCTCGCTATTATGAGCTTCCCTCCGGACAGAGACTATGGATCTCGCAGTGCGAGAAAGCGGATGCCATGCTGTGCGTCTGGGGTGGTTTTGCGTTGGCGTACCTTTCCTCAGTTCCAGGTCCTGTATCGTGGGGATCGTGGGCCCGGACAGTGATTTGTCGGGTTGGGGGAGGGTGGGGCCGTAATCGTCTTCTTCATTGTCTTCGTTGTCGTCGGAGTCGTCGGTGTTCTGGCGATCTCGTTCGGAATGATGTCGCTCAGTCTGTTGGTTGTGGGCGGTGGAGGTGGAGGATTGTGGCTCTTTGCCTGCAGGAGGAGGAGGAGGAGGAGGAGCGTTGTCGAGATTTGACCGCGCTCGCTCCAGCATTGCGGGATCGTACCATCCCTCTGCTAGTTCGCCGTGGTTCCTGATATGTTAGTCTTAGAGGTTTATTGTTCCCATGTGATTTCTGGGCAAAGGGGGGGGGGGAAGCGGGGTGTGCCTTCGCCAAGCAAAAGTATAGAATAGCAGGCATGGACGGGACGGGACGAGAGGAGCGCTAGGTACCATTTGCGGATGAAACTCTTCCAGCGACCCTTGACTTCGTCTTCCGGGAGGTCCTCGAGGTAAAGACCTTTCTGGATGTCGAGGTACATGGCGAAGAGCGGGGTGAAGGTGGTTAGGTCGTGTTTGGTGAGTTCGCGCGATCCATAGGGGAGGACTCGGGGCGCTCGGGTTGCTTGCGCTGTGTCTGGGGTGCGGTGGGAGGAGGAATGATGGTGGTGACGGTGCCGGCGATGACGGTCTCGGTCTCGGTCTTCGTCTTGGTTAAGTCGGTCGCGGTGGGTGTCTGTATGGCGACGGTGGTGGTCGTCGTGTTGGTCATCGTGACGATGGCGATGATGGTGGTGACGTCTGCTTCGATGTCGGTCTGTTCGGTCTGTTGTGTCCGGGGAGCGAGTGCGCGATCGGGTGCGGGAGCGAGGTCGAGAGGCTGGATCAGTGCGACCGCGATGGTGATCTCGAGGAGACATTGTGGTGGTGTGCTTATGTTGTCCGTAAAGGGCGGGTGAGAGAAGCTGATCCAGATGGAAGTTGGGGAGGGTTGCCGATGGCGGAGTTGAAGGTGCCAAGCTTCGGCGGCCGAGGCGGCGGCGTTGGTGGAGAGTGTTGAGGTACACAACATACTCATTCCTACTAGACACGATTTACACTAATAAGATAATTTGAGAGTACAGTATCGGCCGATCCATCATTTGCTCTGCGCTAATCAAATCTGGCATGACCTGGAATCTCTTGTGCTAAATTTTTCTTATGCAGCGTCTACTATACAAGTGCGAGACTGTGACTCCCAAACGTACAATCGCTGCATCATATTCATCTTCATGGTATCAATGACAGCCCTACCAGGGGGACTCGGAATAAATTGAATGACAAAAAGCTTCGCATGAGAATGTGTAGGGTACTGTCTAGCTAGCTGGGGCGCTTTGCGGCTCACTGGCCGTGGTAGTGGCGGCGGAGTTGTCGGCGGCGTTCGATGGCGCCGGGGAGGCTGTTTTGGATCGGTTGGCAGCCGCCATCTGCCAAGCGGGAATAGAGGCAGACCGACCGAATTGCGAAAGAGGGTTGTTGCCCAGGGATGCAGTACTGGCACTCGGGCTCGGCTGAGCGGATTGCGACGGCTGTTCAATCGATCCCGCAGTCGATCCATTTGTTGCGTTAGAGGCAGAGGCCGACTCCTCGGCTGGCCGTGAAGCAGTCGGAAGAGGGATGCCGCCCACAGCCCGTCCAGCGATGGACGAGCTGGCGCCGCTACCACCGCCACCAAGTCGATTTCCCAGAAGAACTTTCAAGCTCTTCAATTCGGTGCTCAGCTCCTTCAAACGATTCTCGTTGCCTTCCCGAGCACTCTCCATAGCCTTAGGGATGGCGTCTTTCAACGATTTAACTTCGTCGCTAATGCGGCGGGTCTCGTCGTCTCTCCGACGGGATGCGTTCTTCATATCGGAGACAAGAGTCTCGACCTCTCTGAGAGCAGCGTCGAGTCGCTCGGATCGCTCTTCTTCTGCAGACTTCAGGGCGGCTGTGTCGGTGGAGAGTTGATCGATAAGCGTAAATGCACGGGAGAACTGCTCATCAATATCCTGCTTATCTTGTTCCAGCTGTGGTGGGGTAGGGGGTGCGATCAAGGGTGTGATATATCGCTTGATCAATGTCAGCTCCTTCCGCAGCACGGCTGTAGGTTAAATACAGAAAAACTGACCTTCGTGATAGTGTACAGCCCATATCCGACACCACCCACAACAGTAGCCATAATAAACCAATCCCGCCAGTCCCGCTTTGGAGGTCTGCCGTGACGACGAAATTAGTATTCCCGAGACTATCCTCCGTGGCGGACAGCCACTTACTCTGGCGGGGGCTGCCATTGACCATACGATGGGTAGCCATATCCCGGAGCGGGTGGTTGAGGTGGAGGTGGTCGATAGACTGCTTGTTGGGAAGAAGGCTGATAGCTCGAAGATGATGTCGCCGCGGCCGCCGCGGCCGGATCTTCACCTACTCGCGAAAGAGCGACATCGATCTCTTCTTTCGTTAGGTTCTTTGACTGCAGGAATGCGACTCGCTTTTCGATCGGCGAAGAGGCGACAGACGGATCTTGGAGAACTATCTTCGAATTAGAGTCCGCAGCAAAACGAATTGCATTGCAGTGCGTCGATGATAACCTACAGGTGATCTAGGATGTTGAGGATGACAGTCAGCTCCGATTCCGGCAACCGCAAATGACAGATGAGGATTGAGGCAATAAACCTACAGCAGACGAGATAAGCTCCTCGCGAACCATGATGACGGGTCCACCAGGGACTCTGTTTCGGTTGTAACGAAACGAGAGTCTATCGAGCGACAATGTGCGCAGTGAGTGAGAATTGAAAGAGACAATGAGACGGAAAGCGAAGTGGAAAATTAGTAGGAGGAGGAGGAGGAGGAGGTGGAGGAGGAGGAAAGGGAATTGGACCTCGGAAGTTGGGGAGGGGAGGCTAGGACGGTACTAGGAGGTACTGTAATAAAGCAACTAATCACAGCCGGTACCGCGGCGGACTCGGCGTATCCCCAGAGGGGCCCGTGATCATGGATTCAGGAAGTTAGTTATCTAGTAGGTCCAACTGGAAAGAGTGGCTCAGTCCGGATCCGGTTAGTTCAACCTTTCAGCTCTCCTGTTGTTCCCAGGCCGCTCACCGCCTGCTATTTTCAAGCAAAGTGGCATGTCTTGTTTACATCCATCATCCGCCCGCTCGGTTGCTGCTGCCCGTCCAAAATCTCCCTCCATTTCCGACGGTAGAAGTTGGTGTTCCAGCTTCGTGCTGCACAATCAATCCAGATCCTGGTTCTCACTCCTCTTGGAATACCCCGGTTGGTACTTTGGGCCGATTTTGTGACTGTATCAAATCAACAGCTGCAGTCGCGGCTGCCTGCTCATCATGTCGCAAGATACCGGACTGTTCAGCATCAGGCGCCCTCGCGAGGTATGCGCCCCAACTTGTCGCACCTTCCATGTGCCTACATGGATGCAAGAAAACCCAGATTCAAAGTGATGCTGACTACCACATCTAGTCGATGGCGCTTGGAAGCGTTCAGAACTACTCCGCTCTTCCCCAACCCTCATCCGCCCTCAAACGTACCAGCTCCATTGGATACCAGAACCCTCCCTTCACTTCACAGCACACCCGCTCCATGTCGATTATGAACTCTGCCAGTCGCCCGCAACAGCCGAATTTCCAGCGATCCTCATCGGGTGGGGGTCTTGGTGCAGACGCCGGTCTCTCGTCAGTCCGGCGCTCGGTGTCGAGCAATATCTTCCATGGACCCAGCGTGGGACGCCCCAGCCTCGCTCCCGGAGCTATTACATCCAACACAGCGGCCGCGCAGGCGTTACAGCGAAGGAGTAGTGTATTCTCACGCCCGTCCATGGGGGGCGCCATGGCGCATCAGTCGTTCTTCACCCAGGTTCCCACAGTAGCTGGTGTCCCAAGAGACCCGAGACCTCTCAGAGACAGGTCTTTCCAGGCGCGGATCGGCCAAGAGCTGTTGGAATATCTGACACATAACAACTTTGAACTTGAGATGAAGCACTCACTAGGCCAGAACACGTTACGGTCACCGACCCAAAAAGACTTCAACTACATCTTCCAGTGGCTATATCATCGCATCGACCCGGGCCACAAATTTCAAAAGAGCATGGATGCGGAAGTGCCGCCGATATTGAAGCAGCTGCGTTACCCCTACGAGAAAGGCATCACAAAGTCGCAAATCGCAGCAGTTGGCGGCCAAAACTGGCCCACTTTCCTCGGCATGCTACATTGGCTCATGCAACTAGCGCAAATGATGGACCGGTTCCTTCTTGGGGAATATGACGAGGCCTGCGCAGAAATGGGCGTGGACGTCTCGGGCGACCGTATCATCTTCCGATTCCTTACCAGCGCCTATCATGATTGGCTTCAGGGTGGGGAGGAGGAAGATGATGAAACAGCAGAGAAGAGACTTGTTCCACATGTTGAGATGATGGCACAGGACTTCGAGAAGGGCAACGAGAAGTATGTGCAAGAAATGCAGGTTCTCGAGGCTGAGAATCGGGCCCTACGCGATCAGATTGAAGAGTTGGAGAAGAACGCCCCGGATATGGCCAAGCTGGACAAACATTTCCGCATCTTGGAGGATGACAAAAGGAAATTCGAAGATTACAACCAGAATGTGCAGGGCAAAATCGAGAAGTACGAAAATCGCATCAAATTCTTGGAGGACGAACTCAAAAAGACCGAGTCCGACCTGCAAGCGGCGGAGGATGAACGGTCCGGGCTCCAGGCCAGTGTCGACCAGCAGGGCCTGACTATTCAAGACATCGACCGCATGAACACCGAGCGCGAGCGGCTGCAGAAAAACCTTGAAGACACTGTCAACCGGTTGGAAGAAACGCATGCTCGGGTCATGGCCAAGGAGGCCGAGGCAAGCAAGAAGCTAGAGGACCTGGAGGAGGTGGTCAAGGCCTACAACACTCTCGGCTACCAAAACAGTTTAATCCCATCCTCTGCCGTGAACGCCAAGGGTGATGAATACGAGCTGAGCCTCAATGTCAACGAGAGCAATTTCTCATCATCCCAAATTGGTGGTCTCCCGAACAGAATCTCCCCGGAAGGAGACCGACTGCTTGCGGAGCCTTTCACTGGATACCACCCGGCTCACTTGTTGAACCTGGACTTGCGTGGTGCCGTTCGTAGTAATCTCCAGTCTCTCCGCAAGGACATCAACGAACGCCGGAAACGCGCAATTGACGATGATATGGAGCGTCGCAATCTGCTGGACAACATCAAGGAGGCGATGGACGAGAAAAGGAGCGAAGTTGAAGCCTTGGAACACAAGCGGCGCGCTGCCGAAGAGGAGTTCGAAAGGCTCAAAGAGATTACCACAACTCAGAAGCTGGCGTCGGATGCCCAGATTGAGAAGATGGAGAAAGAGCTGGCCAAGATGCGCGCTACGCTTAGCGAAAGCGTTCAACTGATGGAGCAGCGTGAGATGAATACCAACATTGAATACGAACAGTTGACGCTCCGCGCGAACTCTCTACGGGAAGAACTACACACAAATGTGGAAAGTATGCTGAATGATGTTATTCGCTTCAAGGTCCATGTTCAGAAAGGACTGGAAGACTACGAAAGCTTTGTCGTTGATGAAGTCGAGCAAGAGCTGGGAGGTGATATGGAGTTTGCTGAAGAAGAGGATATTGAGATGGCTACCGAAGAGCTATGAGCCCGGTTGAGCCAGAGTGAAGGCTCACATTCATGAGAGAATACAGTGTTCAATCCATAGGGTTTGTTGTTATTCAGCTGGGCTCGGTTGTTTGGGGTCTGATTCTCGGGCGCTATTGGTAGGTTCTGTTGTATTTTGGGCCTTGTTCTGAAGTTCATATCGGTTCATACTAGGTCTGGTCTTTCTGTCTTTTTGTTTCCATTGATACCTTTGGCCACTGGTCGCTGTTCGAGTCGAGTCATTGATCTACCTATCTACCTATCTACCTTTAGGGGTTGCATATACATAAATCCCCTTTTATTGATGTGTTACATAAGGCACTATCGTACTTTGATATCCTTGTCTGAACCTTGAAATACCAGATTCGATCATCGCCTGTGCAGTATATCTATCAGGTCCAAGGCTATTGAACTATTCTGATGATAGCGCATTATTACTCGTAAATGGCGCATCACTGATTGGGGGATGAGAAAGTTAACTAAGCCCCTGCAGCTGAGTCAGCATCTAGCTATCAGTTGCTGCTTTGCCTTCTATCAGTTAAAAGTTCCTCCCGCCAGGAACTTCTCCCCAGAGCCAACAGCTTTCAAAGAATCTTTTCTTTTCGTCGTTGGGTCCGTCTGTTTATTGTCTCCCCAAGAATAACTTCCCACATACTACAGTCTGCTCTAGTTTTATGGTATACATTTTTCATGGTATACATTTGACCTGGTCCCTGTGACTAGACATGCGTTACAGAACACTCGTTCAACGGTCACTTCGAGTTTTGGACTTTCTCCGCCCGTAAGCCACCTCCGCTAGTACCACTATCGTGTCATGAAAAGGTGCTTGTCCTCAGCTCGTCCGCTGCGCTCGCATCATGGGCCTTCTCGAATTACCTCTCCTCCCTCGATCGGTCATTTCTGCGGAACCCATGCCTCTCGCCCTCCCAGCTCGCGCTGGGCTTCCTCCGCGTCGCGGCGACGTGGGATCTACCAACGCTTCGCCACAGACAGCACAGCCTTCACTTATGAGTTTATCAGTGCCCAGGGGATGAGGAAGATGAGGCAGCCTAAAATAAGTGAGAAGGCACTCGACCCCAATGAACGCTGGCTCGCACTGCTGGAAGAGCATTTGCCACCGCCGTTGCGCAGAGACTACAATGGGGAGGAGACGGAGGAGAGTCCGGATCATTCCTCCGCCAATTCGTCGTCTATGGCCCAGGAATCCTTCGCAGAAGCTGTCGACATGACCAACACGCTATATCGAGCCCGAAAACATCGACATTTGGACCTGCTGACGTATCTTGGCTTCCGGTTGAACAATTGGGCTGCTGTGGATTTCATTTTAGGTCGTCTTCTTGACGCCTCCGAAGCCGCCAGTGACTTCTCGCGGCGCTCGCGGCCACCAACCGGTGTGCATTGGGCGCTGGATCCGAACTCAACGCTTGATGAGCTTTCTAGTCGAGCTGTGGATTCTGCGCCTCCTGCTGCGGCGGCCACAAACCGCGGCGCGTCAAATGACCCGAAATTGATTCCGCTGAGGCACAGTACCGCCAGGCCCTTTGCTGCCGAATTGAATGAGCGATTTCTGGCGCAGATATGGCAATCGCTGGGTGCCCTTGTACTAGACGCCGCGGATGCATCCCCCAATGAGGCCAAGTTGGCTATGTCGGTTGTTCTTTGCACTCTTGCCCGTCTGCATACTTCTGGCGCTATATCCGACCGGGTTTACGATTGGACTCCACCCCTGCGATTCCAGAGTTCATTTCGGCCTCCAGGGATGTCCTTGCTCAAGTCCTCGATTATGCAAGCTCTGACTGATGCTGCGTGGATGGAGTACGAGGCAGACATGGCTGACAAGGCTGCTGCAGCAGGCCAAGAATCACCCTTCATTTCGGTTAGCCCGGTCATCCGTGAACTAGGACCATCAATTTGGATGGAGTTGATTCTCTGGTGCTGTGTCGAGCAAGGCTTCACCGAAGAGGGGGTGTGGCTAATAGAGCGAATGAAGAGACAGTCGAGCGACAACCGCTGGACGGCCAAGAACTGGAACAAGATACATATGCTTGACAAGTCCGCACGAGTCTGGAAGACTAATATCGAGATGGAAAGCACATGGCGTCGGCCACATGACCCTGGAGTGCTTGACACGCGAATTATGGAAAATTACACCAAGAACAGGGTTGACCTGACTCCCTTTGTTGGGATGGGTGAGCGAACGATTAGCGAGGAAGTCGTTTGTGCATTGTTCCACAGTCTCCCAAACCTGGCATATCTAGGGACCGGTTTCCGAGGCATGTCACCCAGTCGCATGGTGTCCTGTGTTTTCACATTAAAGTTCATTTTCGCTTCGCAGAGGATGACACGTTTGCTTGCGACAACCAGGACTTTTAATACTTTCCTCATGCGGGTGCTATCCTCTGGAGGGATCAACGCCCAAAAGGACCCTTTTTGTCTTATTGACCTCCTCAAGGCCGCATCGACTGTAGTGCCGCCTTGGGTTCCGCCCTATACGCAAGACACGGATAAAAAGCAACTCAAGCGCTATCGTCAGTGGGATTCTTACAATCAAACTCTGGCGCCAGTTGGCCTGCTCGAATACACCCTTAGGTATTCTTCGTCCTTGCGACGGTCCGGGGAGGCCTTGAGGACATTTGCCTGGCTGCAGGAAATAGAAGACGAAAGCAGACAGCAGCGGATAGGCAAATCCTTCGACTCGGAAGCTATAGGCGCTGAGGACTCGCTTGATTCTTCTTTGTCACCCATGCCGCATCTGTCGAGTGTGACGCTGGCCGAACTGCTCGACTTGCTCACCGCATCACGGGCTTACGAGTCGGCTGAGTGGCTATTCTCTGCTACAGACGTCGAAAGGCCTGCCATCTCAAAGGACGTGTACGGTAACCAGAACATAGCGCCATCGATCCTTCGCTTCGCCGCCGCCACAAAGAACGAAGTCCTTGCTGAATCTGTTATTGGATCTCTTCAGCAGCCTCTTTCAACTAACACCTTGCGTGCCCTTCTTAACTACCGCATCGTGCAAGGCCACTGGGATTCAGTGGTATTCTTGCTCGAGTACCTTCGCGACCACCGCCTTAAGTCCTGGGGCCACAGCAACGTTGCCACCCTAGCAGCAGAGATCATCCGTCTGGAACACGCCCTTCAAGAGTTAGGAGAAGATTGGGAACGCCTCGGTACAGATCATGAACGGAGGCACGCCAACCTCGTCAGTTCTCTGGGCACGGCGAAGGCAATCCTCGGCCGCTTATTTGCTGGAGAGTTCAGCGAACGCCGGAGCTCGGTCCTATCGAACAGCGCTATCCCCGTCCAGAGCCGGGACTTCCAACCACGTGTGCTCGCGAGTTTTCACCGCGTCTTCCTCAATTTCGTAGACTCCCCTGCCCTTCGTGATATCGCCGCCTCCAGCACACATCACCTAAAATTCAAGGTCGCTTCGCGCACTTTGATCCCCTACATTCCCTCGACTGCGTTCCACCGGATCCTCGAAGCCGTCGTTGACACGCAAGGCAGCGCCGCGGGCATGAACCTTTACTTCAAGACTTGCTTGGACATCCTCTCACCGGAAACGGTCAGGACGCGTGAGGGCGGCATCCCGCGCATGTACCTACACTCCGAACGCATCCTCGAACGAGCCGACCCCCACTTCGACCCAGTATACTTCTGGGGCAAGCAGGAAAAGTGTGTGATCCCGAACTTGAATACCATTCGGGTCATCCTACGGGCAGCGATGAAAGAATACAACGCCAAGAACAGAGTGCAAGAAGACAAAAGTCACAATGACGACCACGGCACCGCTGAATCGTTCTTTGATGAGGATTCACAAATAAAGGACTACTTCGAGGGTAATTACTGGGAGAAAAGAATTAAGGCCAGAGCGGCGGCAACGAACCGGTCTGTCGACGACGCCCTGGATTCTCTTCATCGCGATCAAGATCAACCAACAACGCAGCCGCCGGACTTAGAGCCAAGGTCAACAACACTACAGTCAGAGCCAGAGTCAGAGTTCGAGTTAGAAGAAGAACCAGAAGAAGAATCCGAGCCGATGAAAGCGCGGGTCCTCGCCGACCTCATCGAAGCTCCCCGGGAGGGTCCCCAGAAGCTGCTGAGCCGGGACAACCCGGTCTGGCCCGTTCTGAACTTCTGCATCAGGCGGTACTTCCGCTTCGGCCTCAACTACAAGGAGGTTAACCGCGAAACCGGCGGGTATCTGACCCTGCAACGGCGGGATTATTGGGGCGACACGGAGGCGGCGGTCGAGCTCTCCGTGCGCACCCTTCCGGACAAAACCGTCCTGGTCGGGCCCGAGTCGATGGTCCGCAGGTCGAATCCGATCCGGAAAAAGTTTGTCAACTGATCTTCTCCGGATTCCACGGTTCTTTGTTTTGTCTCGAGATGGTTTCGTCTCCTCTGCCTGCTTGCTCCCTTTGTGTGTATAGGGGGTAAGAGCCAAAGAATCCCGGTTTCCATGTTCCCGGAGTCCAACTCAATGTGTCTACGTGTATTATAGAGTTGATGTGTATAGTCCGACCTGTACAGTTTCCAGGACCCCCTTTTTCCCTTAATCTTATATTTATATACATACCACTCTGCATGTTGATTTGCTCTTCCCATGCTCTAGTATCATATTGGCCTTGTCGGTCCCCCATTTCCCAATGTTCTGCTCTGTTCTGTCCTGCCCTACTATTTCCAAAAAGGGAATCACCAATCTTGCCAGAATCCAAGGTGCTAAAGCACTACCTTAGTATACTGTACCGAGATTCACGCACCCGTAGTAGGGGAAAGGGGGAAAGGGGGGTCTTGGAGGCGTCTGAACCGTTTACAACCTGGTCCAACCGGGTTATACCACCTAGTCCAACCTTCCCGGGCACAAACTCGTTATTTCGTATCAAGCCTAGAACTACTTAGTCTTGGGACAGTATTAGCTTAGGGTCAAGCTATGTACAACTAACTGCCTACAACCCTTAATGGACGTGCGGTACGTATCATCAATCTTGCTGTAACCACTGATGATCACAGCTACACGCAAACTGTTTTGGTCATGATTCAAGTAGTGGTATCAGTAGTAATATAAGTACTTGTGTATCCGTCAAAAGATATGTATAATCAATCCACACTGTAAGATCAATAGTTTGGCTGAATAGAGGTTAGGAGAGAGTGACCTTGTCAACGATAACGGGTTGGCAACGTTTGCATGCCGTGTTGGGACACTATTATACCAACTGCAACTTCAGCCCTCTCCTCTCTCTACCATGTATTAAATATCACCACCGAGCCCCCCATTACAAAGAAATAAGACCATCGAAATAAGAGGGTAGAGAAGATTCGAAATGGTATTCCTGATCTCGGTAATGAGATCTGTATCACAAAGGAGGAGGGTGTTATCAACCGGGGAAAAAGAAATATACGCCAACCATCCCACCCTATTCATTGATTCATCCATCCGTTAAGTTCATGACAAATTTCCACCAGCGCCAGTAAATTCAGGCCTCGCCGCTCAGGCCAGACTTCATTTCCCGTCTCTCCTGCCTAATACTCCACGTAGCAAATTTACCGCCGTACACAAAGCCCAGATGTTGCTCGCAAAGAAAACCAAATACAAAGAAGAAGCGGTTGGAAAATGGTTGCGGATGAAGACGTAAGCAGGAAGCAAGCGAAACAGAGAGACAGATGTCTGAGAGCATTCAGCGCTCAGTATATATGGGACAATATTGTGAAGAGGAGAATCAAGCTCGCGCACGAACTAGAGAAATGCTGTAATGGATCTTAAAAGCTTTGAGGCCATGGTAAACAATATTCAAAGAGAAATTTCAGTGAGGCCAACCAGATTGTGCGAAATCGTGGTGCAGCATGGCAATAAGAATTGGATCCTGGAGGTGGAAAAATAGTACTGTCAGACCGACTTTCCAAGAAGACAGCAAGTCGAATTGTACTTATCACCCCCATGGTTGATCCTCATCCCCGGATAATGGGAAGAAAGAGCGAATGAATTCGCCGCTGATCGGATCATACGGAAAATATGCATCGCCGCCGGGACTGGGGTCGGAAGGCATGAAACTCATTGGCATGCCCGAGTGCTGTTGTTGACTGTGTTGGTATTGCTGCTGCTGCTGCTGTTGATCCTGAGGGTTCATGGTAAGTGACAATCCAGAATCATGGTGCATATTGGACACTTGCGACGCAACAAAAGATTGATTCACGTCAGCAGATGTGTAAAAAAAGGGACCTGAGTTAGCGGTCTGTTCGGCTTGATGTTGGCCAGGTTGGGTCACGCTATGTGGTCGAGGGTCGTATCCAAAGACGGGCATATCGCTGATATCGTAGTCCATCCCATAGGCAATCTGGCGGAGACTACCAAAACACAATTCCCACGCCCGTCGAGAGGCCAAGCTATTCTGTGCCATCGCAAAGAGCCAGCGGATAGCCTTCTTTGTAGATTCCAAAAAGTTCATCTCATCCTCTGGCTTGTGAATACAACCAAAGGATAACTCCAACAGTAGGACCGAGGTCGCTTGCATCAAGTAGTGCAGAATACACCACCAGGGGCATACTTGGTAGAGACGGGCTGCGTCTGGCAAATCCGGCATCAAGTCAAGCATACGTCGAGAAGAATCCAAGGTTATAACCGCCATCTCGTGGCTGAAGGTTGGCTTTTTGCTAGCAGCCGTTTGCCTTGCGTCACGGCGACAGAGGCATGGCCGTCCCAGAGTAATCCGCGCGCTATAGTAGTGGAAAGCAAGGAATAGCTTGGCACGGATTACATCTGTGCTCTGGTCCTCTCGTCGAGAGAAGTCGTACGCCTCATGGAGATTTTGGTACCAAAGGTCAATCCGAGACCGGAGTTCACCAATCCGGTTCTCGATGTGACTCCATGGGATGGAAACACAGTCAAGTGAGTATACCCGATTGACGATTTCCTGTGCAATGACCGCGAGGTCGACATAGTAGAGAAAGCCTAGGGCGCTGCTCGGGGGCAAATTTCGCAGCCACGAGGTCTCGCGCGATTGATCTGACGCTTCAGCTTCTCTGCCCCCGCGGGGATTAGATGGCATCTGACGAACGGATGAAGAAGCAAGGGCGGATTCAATGTAGTCTTGACGGATATCTGGGTTGTTAAGGAGCCTGGTCGCAGCCGGCTCCGAGAGCTGTTCTTCCTCGAAAGGGAGTGGCAATGGCGTCGTGCAGATACCATCGGAAATGCATGAAGCCCGCCCTGTCATGATACCCAACATGTGCTCAAATGTATACAAACACCACCAGACCCGGTAGCGTGCTTCTTTAGAGATTTTAGCCGTGTTTTCGCTGGTATTCTTCATGTTGAGCCCTAATGTAATTGCAGACCGTACAGCCAGAGCTGCGATTCTCCACGCCCTGTTTGGTATACAAGTTAGATGGGACAACATATATGAGTGTGTACTATAACTGCCTCACCTGTTTATCTGGTCCGTAGAGAGTAGATAATATGCGATTAAACCCTCCACCTGAACCTGCTGAAGATCAGGATGGCTGAATAGCACGTCGCCGTTCATGCTAAGAATCCGGGCTCGAGTGAGATAGACTAGATGATCATTGTCATCTCCGCGCCAGGGCGCCTGCGTCAGGTGGGCATGCTTGGCGGAGATGGCGAAAATCATATTGAGGATGGCTAGCCACTTGTCTCCGGGGCGAGCGGCGCTATCGAAGAAGGTTTTGTATTGTGCGGAAAAGAGGGTGCGGTTGACAATGGGAAAGAACGGGTGCACGGTCTCCAAGTAATCCTGAAAAAGCTGATCGGCCACTTTCCGTGGCGGCATCCAGTACACATGCACGGGTCCAGGAACAGAAATGTCCATGTCATCCAGGTGGTAATTGACCGAATGGATCGCGAAATCGCTTTCTTGGTCCGCCTCGTAAAAGCCTGGCAATTTGCGTGAACGTTGTTCGGCCTCCTTGCGCACTCGCTGCATCCAGATGACCTCCGAGTTCTTGCCCATATAGCCCGTGGCTCGGGAACTCGGGGTTCGGTTCACATCTTCCTCGACACGGTCTATTGCGTCCAGCGATCCGATTGATGAAGTTGAAGATACGTCATCGTCTGCATATTCCTCCTGCGGCGTTACGGAACTCGACTGTGCTTCGGTGGACGTCGCGGTGCTTTCACTACCCGAATACTGATCAGGGTTAACCCATCGTCGCAGACTTTTCCAGGGGACATGAAGAAGGATAGAACACAACGGGCTACGGAGTTAATACTCACCTTCTCCAAAACAAGTTTTATTCGCTCGGCAGCGCGACCGTCCACCACGGAACTTAGGTCCCGCAGGAGGTTTTCATAATCGGAGGTCTTGGTAGAAAGCTTATTCAATTGCCTAAATACTTTTAAGTCAATGACCAGCGCAAGGGAAGCGTGCGATAAGATCGACAAACGTCTTGGTCCGTTCACGCCAGGAGACCGGGTATCGGCAGCTAACCCGCAGCTCCTTACACTGTCTACACACTGGCGTGTCCCCACTACACTTGGTTTTGCGATGCCGACAAGATTCGCAGGCCAGAGGTACACGACGAGCATAGCGTGGGGCAGCCCCGGAGCGCTGTCGCGGGATGGCAACCTTTTTGCTGGCGCTGGTGGTGGGAAGTAGTGGTATTTTATCGGAGTTAGTACCTCCGCTATTAGTGGTGAGGGTCGGCCGCGGTGGATGTTGTGATGACGATGTACTAGTCAGTGCTGGCGCGTTGGACGAGGAAACTGACGGCTCTTCCGGATGGGGACGAAGAGGCATTCCACCTTGCGAATGGCTTTCATCCCCGTCCGGTAAAGTAGATTGTGCTTCCATGGTGTTGTCTGATCAGACTAATGAGGGGCAACGGACGGCGGACGGCGGGGGTTCGCTTCGACGATGGTCACTTGCTTTCGCTGATTTTGGAGGTATCGGATGGGTGGTTGACGCTTCAAATATCGCAAACTATATCAGATTTTTTCGAGCCTAGAGCATGCACGGCCAAACAGGAACATGATGGCCGCCCGGGGGAAGGTTCCAGAGATGAGATGAGGCGATTAGAAGCGCGAAGGTTTGCAGCCACAGCCAGCTGCAGCGCTTTAGCAGTAGGGTCAGACCCAGAAGTGGCAAAAGTGGTAAGAGAGCGAAGAAGGGGGACCGGGAGGAAAGAAAGAGAGGAAAAGAACACAGGCGGTGATGATCTGTGGAAGAGACGAGAGAAAGGAGACTACTCCGTAAGGTACTAGAGAAGAAGGAGGAGGAGGAGGAGGAGGAGGAGGAATAGGAATAGGAATGAATGCAGTGGATGCGGGCACTTTCCTGGCAACAATGCAGGCTGCATGACAGGCGGGCGGGCGGTGACAGTCATTAGTACTCATACTCTACTCCGTACAGTAGGTAGGTTTAGTACCTCGACTTGGTCTAAGCTCAAGACTCGATCGCAATCGCCCCGCTATGAAGTCATGATCTTTTCTTTCCTCCTTGTTCTGGTTCAAAGCGTTCCTGACTTTCTTCGCTTTTCCACGAGTGCATCTGTCTTTCACTGAGTTCTTGGGAATAGTTAAGTTAGTTTATTGAATACGGCTTAGATAATACGAATCAGAAAATAGTTGACTTACAAGTCAACTTGGAACAACGGTTACACTTACACTACTACTTATGACTTAGGCAGCAACCACCTGGCACTGAGGAAGATCCATGATCACTTTCGGCATATCTCAAGTGGTCCCGTCCTGGTCTCTAGTGGGCAGAACGACTTCCCGACCGGAGGATTGGCCAGACCAACCAAGAGCGAGCTGCTGCTGCATGTCACCTGGCACCCTGCAGCTTGAACCATTCAGGGTTGCTGGCTTCAAAGCCTAGTCGGGCCCGATTAGTCCATGGAACGGAACGATGGCGTTGGCTCCGAAACCTCCAATCAATTTAGGGCTTACAATCCGCGAAGATACGATGAACCTTTTAGTATCAAATTCGAGGAGTCCCTTGCGGGGAGATTTGGAAGCTTTTTATTCCAACCTTGAAGAGGCCACAGGCGCTAAACATACATGATTGCTGACATCACAACATAAATCCCAGTTTTCCGGCCTTCCTTTTCTTTCTTTTTTGCTTCCAATTTTCCTTATTTTTGTTCTTCCAGTCTACCAGAACGTAGCCGTCTCAGAACGCCGACAATCGCATCCGCATCGATCCAACCAAGCGAGACGTTTCAGATCAATCCGACTGAACAATCAAACAGAATTTTTCACGATCAAACCGCAGACATTAAAATCGAGTCAGTCGTGGTGTGGGCGTGAGCGTGAGCGTGAGAAAGAGAGAAAAGACGGAGGACAGGAAAGAGGAATGAGGTATAGTAGGAGTATATATACAGGAGGAGCGGAGGCTTCGGCTGTCGCCTGGGGGGTTTCGAGAACAGAGAGAAGGCAAGTGCCGCGAGCACGCATTAGAGATAAAAAGATATACAGGGATATAGCAAACAGGTTGCGAAGAACCTGTTGACAGCTAGCCAATCAAGGCGAGCCAGTTTCGAAAATGGAGTGGAGAGGGGATAACTCCCGCTGACTGGTGTCTTGTTGTCGCGGGAATCTAGAGATCATCAAACATCTCATCGAGCTCATGGACATCAACTGTTTCCGGACTCTGTAGCTCTCGCCACGAATCGAAAACCGTCGCCCCGTCTGAGCGAGGCAGTGCGCGAGCTCCTAGCGACACCTTGTCTTCGTGCTCAGCCAGATCTGCCATTTTCATGTCCAGATCAGGCATCTCGCTGTTCAGCATGTCGATAGGACGCTTCAGTGTCGATACTGAGGGAACGGTGGGGTCTTCGGGTAGACTGATCTGAGGGGCACGTCCAATCGCTTCCGACTGAGACTCGCCATCCAGTCCATCATCCGAAGCCACACTCGTGCCAGACGAGATGGATGAGGCCACCGATGTGAGAGAAGGGGAAGGAGAAGTACCGAACAGAGCCGCCACGGCCGCCTCGTCGAGATCCTGCTGTTGGAGGTGGCCTTGGAGAGGGGAAAGTTCAGAGAGACCGCCACGAGAAAAGTAGTCGTGGGTGGGCTCATCAGCCATGCGATCGCCATTAAACGAAAGGTGGCTGTCGTCCACGGGGGTGCCGCAGATAATCATATTGTCTTCGTGCAACTCGTTGAGACCTTCCGATAGCGCAGAAAAATGTGTGATCGAGGGCTGTTGCTGTGCTTCTTTTTGTTCGGAAGCCCGCTCACGGACGGCGCTCGCGGTTTGTGTGAACTCCTTCTCATCACCTTCCAATGGAGGGGATGCAGCCCGGTTCGAGTGCATCAGCCGAGTGTGGTGATCTCCAAATTCGGTACTCGACCGGGAAGTGCTGGTGGAACCCGTGCGACCATCCAAGTCAATGTTTTCTTCGTCGAAGTCGGGGGAAGACAGGTCGACCTCGGGACTGGGGCTGAGGCGCGACCGCTCCCGCGCCAACGCGTCTTCCTCATCGAGGTCAATACTCGTCACGCTAGGCGTCATGTCCTTTCCTTCCACGCCAGGGATTATGACATCATCCGAGTTCTCTGGGATGGCTTGACGGGGTGAAGTCGTCAAAAAGTAGAACACCTTGCGTGGGTGGATGGGGATCAATTCCTTGGCCACAGGACAAGGCGCTAGTGCAGTCCAGGGGCGTTTCATATACGCGCTTAGCCGTGAAGACAGGAGAGCAGCGGGGTTGGCAGAGCTGTTGGAGGCGCAATAATGTCAGAATTGCAAGACAAGATTAAGGGTAGAATGACTGCGGGACTTACTTTGCGACGCTCTCGTTCAGCGCAATGAGAACAGCAGCCAATTCCTTGACCAGGTGAGGACGATTTCCCGTCTTCTCCAGTTGTTGAATGACGCCGACCACGATGTCATCGTTTATGCCTTCTGTGTCGATCTTGGGGGCGACCGTGCGGTCGGTGGGAGAGGGAGGTGGCGTGTGCTCCAAGGCGCTGCGCCGACCAGAGGAACGGACAGGTGTCGGATGGTCTTTGCTATCTGTAGCGCGCGTAGTGGTGGTTGAAGGCTCCGGCGATAACGAGGAATCGTGCGACCGTTTTACTTTCTTGGACGGAGGCAGCTGGTCGTCAGTCGCGTGCGGCGATTTCGAAGTGGACGGAGAGCGGCGGGACGAGTTCGGAAGGTGAATCCCCAAGGAGGGGAGCGACAATGATTTGCGACGGGTATTATAAGGCATGTTTTGTTTTTTGGAATATAATAGGATCTGAAGGGCGAGGAGGCGATGAAGTAATAGGATACAAGAGGAAGAAGGGAAGGATAAGCAACGCAGATAGTATACTAGTAAATCCGAGCACGGGTCGACGGAACAATACAGTATAGGCAAGACAGGAGAGCACGGGGACTAAGAATCAGGAGAACGAGTCTAATAACACACAAAATCCAAGACACAAGACAAGGTTAGAATGGAGAAGTAGGTAATGGAGATGGAGGGGGGCGAAATTCGGATGTTACAAAAAGAAGAGGAATGTATGATGAAAAAGGGGGAAATAGGTGGTAGAATGAATAGTAAGGAAGAAAGATGGGATGGGATGGGATGGGATGGGGGGGAGGGAAAGGGTAGTGGTGGTGGTGGTGGTGGGAGATGGTTAGTTTCCGGCTAGGGGAAGTGGATGGATGGATGGAGGGAGGGAGGAGGGAGGGATGGAGGGCCGATGTATGATGAAGATGGCGGCACCGAGAAAAGGCAGGATGGAAAGTCGAGGGAATGGGAATGGAATAATCACCGGAAACTTCGTTGGCCAGTGAGGGACCACCGAACCGTCGGAAGAAGTAGAAAAGGGCCCAGTCTACTGTACGGTAACGGTAAAAGCCAGAAATGGCGAAGAAAAAATAAAGTAATAGAAAATCAAATAAGGCGGGCGGTAGGAAAAGAAAGAGGGCCTGAGGAATCCCACTTGGTTGTGGTGGTGGTGGTGGTTGTGACTGACACACCATCTCTCTTCTCTTGTCAGTGCCAAATTTTTTTTTTTTCCTTTCCGCACTTTACTTCTTCTCGAGCCGGCTGAAAATCAGCACGGGTGGATGTTTTAGGGTGGCGGTTATTGGTCCGACCCGATGATGGAGCGTTTGATGGTCGTTTTAAGGAATGTCGGAAAGGAACTTTCTTCTTCCTGCTCCCCAAAGAAGATTACCGCCAGAGTCATCCATGATGAATAATTTGACTCAGACTGTGTTCAGAGGGGGGGTAGGCAGGCATGTACTGAGTATGGAGACTGGGCGGATGATTGTTTTTGTTTACTCTCAGTGACTCCTTAACAGCCTTCTTTTCCCGGCCAACAACATCCATTCCCCCACCTCCACCTCGAGACGCACTGGGGAAAGTCAGCAAGAATAGAGACAGACTATCTATTTTAGAGTCACAGCGATCCTACACCGCTTCCTTTACTGTTCATAATGTACGAGTATTCAACCTGTGAAGGAGGGAGTCCGTGTGTCGCTGTGTCTGTGTGTCTGTGTGTCCGGACAACGAAAGGTCTCTCGCGCGCGCGCGCGCGCCCAGCAGCAGGTCCAAGACCACGACCCCAAGACCCGGACCAGACCAGACCCGACTAGACTAGAAAAGAAACAAGAACCCGGAAAGCCGCCAACCCGTAAGATTCATAATGAAGCAAGCCTGCAGGACCCGAACTAAACGCGGCCGACTGGCTGAAATTCCCATCTTCCGCAGAAGGGGCAAAAAGAAAAAAAAAGTACCTACGGTGGGCCCCACCATGTGTCTATGACGACCAGAATGGATCCCTTCCACTATGATTGGTTGCAGAGACTATGATCAACTGAGGTTCTGCAGGCATGGACTTCACTAGGATGGTCTCCAGGCACTCCAGCAGGGCGAATCGGGTTCCTACGTTTAAATTCTCAGGGATCCTGCCGGCTGTGAGAGAGCTGTCCTGTACGAAATCGAAAAGCAGAAACAAATGGGCTGCTGATGATTGTTACATAGTATAACAGAGCCATAAACAAACAACGCCCTGAATACACATGAATAGAAGGTCTAATATACAGGTAGATAGTGTCCGACTCGGCTAGCACCAAAAGTTCCTTTGCCACGCCTCCGAGGTCTGCTTTCCTCACCGACATCATCATCGCACTTGATCTCATATCGGACCATTTTTTGGGGAAGTGCCCGAAGCTAGACTCGACTCACTTCACCCTTTACAAATCATCCTATCTAATGATGGTTAATACTGTCGTTGTGTGGAAATCATTCAACTGCTACAGGTTCACTACTCGATGCTGAGTGCACCCGTGTTCGGGTAGATGCATCATAGCTCTAACTGCATCCATGGAACATACCAGCGCAGCTCCGATATCGACTTCTCTATTCTATGACTAAGTGGACGGACATGAAAGCCTTATGACCGGAGGGACAAGCACAATCCTTTTGCCAGAGCACGAGAAAACGGCAAGACACAAATGGCGGCACATTGAGAGTACTCAGTAGAGGGGCACCAAAACAGTGGATTGGAAAAAAAAAAAAAAAAGAGAGAGAGGACACACAGAAGGAAAGAGTAAGGGAAAAAAAAAAAAGAGAAAAAGAGATGGAAGAAAGCCTTACACTAGTGCATAGTGCGATTAGCGTCGACTTTTGGCGCCAGTCTTGCCCTATTCCGCTCTAGTATTTAGGACTTTATGCACCAAACCACAAGAGATGTGGAAAACAAGCACAACAAATGAACGAATCACCAGCTGAGATTCGACTCCACTCAGCTCAAGAGAAAATCGTTCCTAGCGTCGCCGTTTAGAGCCATTCGCAAATCATGTTAGAGAGAGTGGGAACTCGAGTGAGCCGTCTAGAAGGTTGCCAAAATGCCCAATCGGACGGAATTGAGGCGACGCTAAACACCAGAGCGCTGGGACGAAGGGGGGACAACCCTCCCTCGCCACTGATGACTCTGCAATGGGTGGTGATTGATGATGTCCGAGGCGAGAGTCCCGCCAGGAACTGATGTATCAGAATTCAGCAAGGGATTCATTCAACCTTGTGGTGGCTATCCGGCAGCTGACTGTGCAGCCACTACTGCAGCGAGATCATGATTGGCAAACGCGGCGCCCCGCGGCTTGAAGACATTCCAAACTTACTCATACATTCATAGTTCGTCCTTCGCCCCATTCATTATCCATCCCTGGCGGGAGGTCGTTGCCTGGGGGGCGGCAGTGGGATTGACATATGGGGGACGCACTCGTAAGCCGTCTGCACATTTGTGCAACTTGTAGCATGCTTATGCATACATGTATGTATGCATGAACTGTACGGACTACGGAGTACTAACTATTGCTCTCTCTATCTCCAGTTTCATCTGCATCGTCAAAACAGATCCATATGCAAAAGCAAGAGGGACGCCGAGTCGGTTCCCGCCACCGACGTTGCATGCCCCTGGTGGGTTGGATGTGTCCAGACGGGGGGATGGATCTATCCCTCGGTCAGCCTCTCTCTCTCTCCACTGCACCCCACGGAGGCCACAAATGCAAATGCAGACATGCATCAGCCGTACATCATTAATCTTCTCTGTTCTGTCTCCATCACCAAATCTTGTAGGCGCGTATGATGCATCCTCTCTCTCATCTTTGTCTTCCAGTCCCACTCCATGCTCCTCATCCGATACCAATCACCCGTACTGTACTAAGTATTCCATGACAGACCCAGGCCAACTCGGAAGTATGTCTCATTCTCGCAGTGATCAACAAAAACCCCCGCCATGGCATGATGTTGTATTCGTTGTGTAGATCTCGTGTGCAAAAGTTCCGTCCTGGAAGAGACAGAACCCTAGGGCGTATCATATTACATGAGAGAATTGTTTGCATCACCGGCGGCAAGGACAAAGATCGTTCAATACATGTAGGTATATTCAATGCAGTCAGTCATCTTTTGTTAAGTTCTCGAATTCTCCGATCGATGACGATGGAGGTACATTAGGCTATGGGGCTATTTCTGCTCCCTCTCCGTAATCTGCTAGCAGTAGGGGAGTCCGCGGAGTACAGGGAACTAGTTGAAGTACCCCGCATCTTGCATAACGCCATTTTGACTTCATTAATCGGCTACCGAGAAAAAGCTTCCAACAACATTGACATCCATGTGAACCTGTTTCTTTGCTTTTGGGGTAGGGGCGATGGAGAGAGTTATGAGTGAGTTTTCCTGGCAGTGCAGTGGCTCGTATTCAGACATGAGTGCTGTACCTAGAGGTATGAACATGTACAGTGTAACGTTACTGAGTATATCAGGTTTGACGTTGGCGCAGGCTTACTCCGCATAATATGGAGAAACTATAGATTCCGCCCACAGATCAGTATAGGTCGCGCGCATGGGGTAAGATGCCGGGAGAATACTACCTAATCATAATAACCTGAGCTTGTTCATAATTCAAGATTCTATGCCGCACGCTAACTGGGATCAAGCAAGAGCGACTCTGGTACTACCACCAGCGACCTCATTCGTCTCTCAATGTTGATGCTGGGACGAACCTTGCCATAGACGATTCAATTGGTTTTAGCTGTGGCTGCTGCCGTGATCGAACCGGCATGTCATAAGACACTGTTTGCGTTTCCATTAGAAACACTGTTCACTCATGGTTTGTCTTACTGTAGCAAGCCCTCGGCTCTTGGTTTAGCAGAAAGAAAACTGCGTCTGATCCGAAACTACCAGATGAGAGCGTGGTGATGTTTGGCGTGGGTTATGCTAACCTCGAACCTTCGCAGCAAGGCCTTAAGGACGCTGCCTCTTGCGTTTAGTTCTCAAACAATACAACTGTACTGATATAACGCTGTCATATATGGTGCTGGGTAATACAAACTCACTAATTGGAGTAGGAGCAAGCAATTGGATGAAAGTGAGGAAGTAGTAGATAACTCGATCTAACATTGTTAGCAACGGAAAAAAGCTACGGTGCCTGAGTAGTCACGGATATATAGATATACGGATAGAACCCAAGCATTGACAATGAATTCAGGATTCAGACACAAGAAGACCGGATCTTCAAGATTGCACGTTCGAGGACGAATATGACGGCAGAAGCCATCTTACTCTTTCCAGATCTATAATACAGAACAGAATAGATAATAGCTTGCTAGTGATGCATTGGTGCATCTCGATGGACGGGGAAAGGAGCCGCGGGCGGGCCGCAAGCCCGCAAGCCCGCAAGATCCGCGCTTCTTCCATCGATGCCTCTCGCGGAACCACTTCAATCCCGCTCCTCCCACTCGCCATGTCGGAGTCCGGGGATCAGCTCAAGCGCAAACGTGCCCGGGTCGCTTGCGAGCCATGTCGGCAGAGGAAAAGGAAATGCAATGGAGCGACCCCCTGCGCAACCTGCACTGACTGGGGCTATAACTGCCACTATACAGATCAAACGCCCCGGAAACGTCGTCTGTCGCAGCCGTCCTCCGCTGCGACGGCAGCGAAGCCATCCTCTCCCGCCGCTGCAGCAGCAGTGGGAGGAGAGTCCCTCCGCTCGCCCGATGAAGCCGTCACTCAATCCCATCACCATCAAGGCATAGCCCGCAGTCTCGAAGCGAATTCCGCCGCCGCGTTTGTACGCAAGATGGGCCTCAAGGTTGATCCCGCCCAGGCGCCGAAACTGGCCCTGTTCGGATGGAACATCGGCGCACGGCAGTTACCCTCCGGAACGGGGGCGATCTCCGCCCGACCCATTGTCGATGTCATCTCGGTGGCCGATATGAAGCAGCTGGCCGAGGTCTACTTCACCAAGATCGATCCGTGCTACGGCTTCATCGACCGGCGCGTCTTCGACGACCGCCTCAAGACCCGATGGCAGACCCCGCTGTCCAGCGGTTCCATCTATGACAGCATCCTCGCCGGAGTCGCGGCGCTGGGCTCGCTCTTCTCCCACCGGAGCATGACCATCACGGAGCTGCACCTCGTCGAAGCCGCCCGGTCGATCCTCGACGGCCACGACGGATCCGGCCCCCCGTCCCTCGAGCTGGTGACGGGCTGGGCGCTTCGCGTGGTCTACATGCGCATGACGGCGGCGCCGCACGCCACCTGGATCGCCAGTTCGACGCTGATGCACCTCATCGAGGCGGCCGGTCTGCACCTGGAACCTTCTTCTTCTTCTTCTGCAACTTCGCACGACACCGTCCCGTTGCGCGCTCCGGCCACGACACCGCCCCACGACCGGGAGATCAGCCGTCGCCTCGTGGGCGTCGCGCACCACCTCAACATCTGGACCTCCTTCGACCTTGGCCTATCCCGCGTCGCCTTCCGCACGGGACTGCCGCTGCCGGCCTCGCCCACGAACCCAGGCGACTACACGCCCGAGGTTCTCAACCTCCTCCCGGCCTCCGCATGCCTCGACCCGGAGAACTCGCAAACAGACAGCGACCTCGAACCGACCCTCACCAAAGTCCTGCAGGGCACGCACACGCAACCCCCGTCCGTGATGGCCCAGACCAACCTCGTCCTCTGCATCCTGCGCCGGCTCCGCATTCTGAACCTCTCCATCACCCCGCAGGTCACGGACCAGGTCCTCGTCCTCTTCGGCCAGGCCCTGTCGTACGCGCGCACTATGGTCACGGATGGCAGCCCCTGGCACCAGGTCGCCAACGTGCCGATGCAGATCCTCTATGTCCTGCTGGAGATGGACACGCGCGCGTCGCTGGCGATGCTGCCCGCCGCGATGCAGACGGTGACGCTGGTGGCGACCACGTACGATACCGCCACGATGCGCGAGGCGTACAGCACCGCGCGCTTGCTGGTGTCGCTGTACCAGCAGCGTCGCTCGGAGGACACGAGGGTGTTGGCCGAGGTGCTGAATCTGGCTCCCGGGGCAGGGGAGACCGTGACCGAGCCGCTCAGCCCGAGGGTCGACGAGTTATCTTGGTTAGAGGGCTTGGTCGCAGAGATGCCTAGTCTACAAGGCCTTGAGCTAGAGCCCTGGCTCCAAGGAGATGTACTTGCCGGAGGTGAAGGATGGGAGTAACACAGATTGAATTGGCCCGCCCGCAGAATGAGAGCAGTGAAGGAACGACAGCAGCAGCAGCCGTCACCTAGTAGGTGAATTGCCTTTTGCTAGAGTAACAGTAACACACCATACTCCTCATGGAGAACCCCTTCAGTTGCTCCTCCACCTCCACCTTCTCTTCTCCTCTAACCTCGACACGACAATTCCCGGCGACTGGTTACGCCCAAGAAAAAGAGCTTCACTCCTTCTATCCCGCTTCTGTCTACAGTTCGTCGGCCGGTCCGGTAAGAACCTCAGTCAAGCCTCCCAAAAACATAACTTTCCCCGGTAGTGATGCTGACCTGACCAGATAGTCTAATACGCTAATCTCGCCTGGAGCGTAGCGCGCGGGCCTCTCTCCTTAGAGTAAAGTACTATCCTTGTTATGTCTGGCAGGTAAGCCTATTCATAATTGCGGGACTAAGAGGAGTATAAACTCACGATTTGCCCTCTATCACTAGCCAAGCTTTATCCGGACAGGATGTCGGCTCGCTCGGGAATGGAAGGGTTTTGCAAAGTGTGCCTTCACGCAAACAACGAACACTACACTGCGCCCTGCCCTGCCACTGGCTGCCTGAACAGATGGAAGGAATGCACTGCCAGTAACTGCTTCAGAGAGCGTCCTAAGGGCTCCAAGGGCGCCAAGGGCTCTAAGGCTTCGAAGGGTTCTAAGGCTCTACCATACAGGGTGTGCTTTGGATGCAAGGACCACCCGGCATGCAGGGAGAATCTCGATTTCAGCGGCGACCAGGTTGATGTCCCAGAGAAGCAGAATGAGGACTACGCCGCGACTGGGACTGCGGGGGGCCAAGATGCTGAAGGTAACTGGACTCGTTGATCTAGTTCTCTGGACTTCTACGAGGCAACTCAAATGCATTGCTGAGACATACCCGCATATTGCGGCGACATTGATGTATTTCATTTCATACATACTGAGCAAGGCCATTTCACATTATCATGAATCAAGCTTCTAGCAGCCATCGTGCTCTACCGCATCTCTCCATTTCAAGATTCTCTCTAGATCAAGCTCCTTGTGCTCGGGCTCAGAAACCGGGAAGTCGTTGTTGTTCCAGGGGTCTTTGATCCAAGGATGTATCTGCATACAACGGATAGCATCAACGTCACCCGACCCATCGTCAAGCCATATGGCACCCTCATGATGTCTTTGCCAACAGAAGAGTCTTCGTGTTCCACTGCCCGATTGTCCTTCAGCCAAACTTCTTAGAGGATGAGGCAACCTGGATTGTCAGCACATACTAAAAGTTGATCGTTGTCATAGGCTTACTCGTCGGAATTTCCTGCACAACCAAAGTAGTTCAAAGTATGAACCTCCGAACTTTCGAAGTCATGCTTGCTGCTCGCAGGGATTCTTTGCTCAGACTCTAGTATCCAGTATATCTGCCAAGAGCGAGGTCTATGCATGTGTGGCAGATGCTCCCTCGCTTCGAGGCTTAGATTTGTGACTGGAGTTGAGCCAAATGGCGGTGCTGGGGACCATGGCCATGGCAGTGAACTAGTGTTGGACAAACAGAAGTGCGAGGTCTGAAATTCATCCACCCGAGTGCTCAAAAGCTCCTTGGAGGAGGCTGAACGGTAGTTCATCTGAAGGAACGATTGGTATGTGTTTGTCCAGTACGCGGCAGGCAGACAAAGAATCGGTATCCCGCTCATCGACCACCTCAGCAGGGGCATCACCTGGTTGGTGTAGATTGCTGCTGCCCAAAAAAGACCCAGATATGGTTTCACATACATGATTGCGTTGAGGAGCTGCCGTTTGTCAATCTTGTCAATAAAAGGGCGTAAGTCATCACATGGCTTGTGCTCTGTGTGCAGCTGCCGCTTGCTCATCGTATCGGTTGGCGAAAGAGCTTCAATTATGCCTAAAGAACCGGCCCCTAAGAGATTGCAGGGCACGCTAGGGTCAAAGAACACACTGCAACTCAGTGAGTCGATAGCCTCTCCTGTTGTGCTGAGAAACATGCATTGATCGATTGATCGGAACAGCTTTTCGTAAATCGTGTTCTTGCAAACTGGGCCAGGGCTCAAAGACATGGCTGGGATCCTCACAGGAGGAGGGAACTTGGGTCGAGATATCGTCCATGGTTCTAGATTCAGGATCGAAGTAAGACCAATGAGTAACTCTCCTTCGAGGCTTTCGAATTTACAAAATTCGACAAGGGCACCAAAAGCAAGGGCCGAATCTGAAGCGACCGGCTCCCATTCATCTCTGACAAGCAAGTTAGCGGGCAGATATGAAGAACAGCTCCGGCAATAGACATACTGGGGGTAAGTGATGTCAGACAATCTCAGCATCCACGGAGAGTAGAGTTGTTCTTCCTCATCTTCGGGGTCCCTGCATCGAGCTTCCCAATGACCCTGCAGAACAATGTCCCAGAAAGACTTTTCAAGCTGCAAGCCTTTTGCATGAAACATGTGGCACTCCAACCCAGCTTGCTGTAGAATCTCCACCCAGCGGGCAGAAAGGATATAAGACCAAGCTAGGGCGATGCTCGTGAAGTACCCGGCACGAAGAGGGCTGGCAGTAGCGGGAATCGTAACTTCTGTTGGCATCTCCGTAGCAGTACAACATGTGACAGGCCGTGGCTTTGCGACGAAGTGACGATACTTGAGTGACATACGAGGTTGATCGCAGGAGGGATCCTCCGTCGAGTCGATGCATATCTCTGATTCGATAAGACAGTCTCCCACATTTCTCACCACCTCTTCTGGAGGAGAATGAAAAAATGGAGGAACGTCCTTGAGCAGGTCTAAGAAGGATTGTATGTAGAAATCTAACGAGTCAGAGCCCCGGATATGCGCAGTGGCCGCATGTTTCCACTGAGCAAGCTTGGATCGATAGCACAGATTGAACTGCGATGTTGTTGGACAGATTCCATCACCAGGAGAAACTCCAGAGCTATTGTGCAAAGAGCCTGATGGTTTTACACTTTTTTGAGTGGCCGGGGTTGTAACTCCTTCGTCAGCGGTCGGTAGATGCTTGGAGACGTGCAGTGAATCGACGCCAATAGTGAGTGGCGATGGTGGGCTGCTGTGAGATAAATCTGATGCTTTATCACTTTCATGAGATGTATGGGTTGAATCTTCATTTTCCATAACTGAGGCCATGTTGGAGATGTGTCGCGGAGGGTAAGTTATAGGTTGAAGAGAGTATACAAAGTAGAATCAGCTTCAGAGGCGAACAAGAAAGCAGTTTGTAGAGGAAGACAAGTGCTGGGCCCAGATTGCAGGTGTATCTAGTGCTGAGAAACTCGCTAGGCTTCTCCTTTTCTTCTGAGTGAAGTGAGGAAATGTAGAGATGTGGATGGGTGGGAAATTGGTGGCTGCTTCTTAATCGGGTACTCGACGCGACGGGCATGGGGTGTCAGGTGATCAGAGCATGTTGATACAATTCAATTTTTTTTCTACTACTTCGAGGCAATTCAGTATCTGTCACATGATGTGGTCTCCTTGATTTGAACTAAACACTTGGTTTGTTATGAGATCCTATTACTAGATTGAAGCCACGGACTCATCCCGACCAACTATTCATGTCCATCCGCCGGCCAGACCTGGCCGTTATTGGTCTTCACCACACTGAATTTCCCAGCCTTACGATCCGCGATTATCACCTCTTTGGGCTTGATAAATAATGGCTCGACGATATCATGGTACTCATCGAGGTACGGTCTTTTCATCGCCACCTGCTCCCATATCAGCAGAAGAGATCCAAGCCGAAGAGAGCTATCTTTGGAAAGAAACAGAAGCCATACATTCACCACCCATTCCTTTGATGCGTTCCTAGAGAACCATCAATTAGCAACGGCTGACAATAAGCATGATAGATAGTTAGGACGAGATCACCAATTCTTGAGCACCAAAATCTCTCCCTTGTTTTCCTGCGACTGATACACTTCGAAGAGCGTGCATTCGGGCTCGCGAGCAATCTTGTAAAAGACAGCCCCGAGGGCTTCGAAGTATTTCGCGACATCCTTCTCCGCCACCCAGATGCGCACCTGGAGTGACACAAGATCAGAAGACTCCGACATGGTGAGGGCTTGCGAGAATCGGTCTTGAAAGGTAGCTTCAGAGCAGTCTTCGTCTGGTCTCCAACGACGGAATCATGAGGGCTTTATATAATCCCTCGACACCCAGATCTGAGCCTTGCGGCTAATAAGTGTAACCCCCCATAGTGAGAGTTACACCTTCTCAGCATTGGGTTGCTCGACTCGAGTATCGAGCCGTCTTTCCGCGATGTGGTGCTACTTCTGAGAACTCACTACGCAGGCATCCTCGATACTAGCCAACTGTCCTTGACTCGAGAGTCTCCCAGAACAGCTCCAATAGGGATCTCGACCGCGGACTGCAAGGGCCCATCCTGCTTTTGTAAGTGACACAGAGCATACCTCGTGGGTGTAGCCTATAGAGGAAGCACTTTACTCTGTCACCAGATTGTCATCTGAGCTACGATCGATGGGTCACCCGACAGGCTCGAGAACATCGCATGAAGTGAATCTTCCAATAGCTGGCTGTAGACAGCACACTTGCATCCGTGAAGATGTCAACGCTATCTGCTACGCCCACGAAACCGACAAAAGGGATCGCCAAGCCATATCAGTTGGACAGCCTTCTTCGGATCATTTTACCGGAGCATCTCATCTTGGACTACTCAGCAGAAAACTGAAACTGTAATGGCTGTTACCAGAACGGAGAGATGTGGTTGTACCAACTTAAGCCAAGTCAAACATTCAGTTGGAGAAGTAAACCGTTCCTGGCAATCACATGCATTCAATTAGGTATGAAAGTGACACCCAAGGTTAATTCCGAAAGAGGTTAGACCATTCCCCGCAGCAACCGAAGCTTCTCCCCCCACCAAACTCACACGCCGCCTGCCGGCCCGGTCTCGTCGCCGGTGAGTAACAGCTTCACCACTACTACCCTACATCTCAATCCCTTTATCCCTCTCTTCTCTCCGAAGTTTCACAGATATCCCAATCATACCTCCCACCCCGACAACCAAACCAACCACAATGCCCTCCCTCAAAGAAAGCACCATCGCCTTCATTGGCGGCGGCAACATGGCCTCGGCGATCATCAAGGGCCTGGTCGCGCAGAACATCGAGAAGCAGAAGATCATCGTCGCCGAACCGTGGGAGGTCAACCGCTCCAAGATGGACGCCATTGGCGTGCGCACCACGACCGACAACGTCGTCGCCGGCGGGGACGCCGACATCGTAATCATCGCCGTCAAGCCGCAGATCACCAAGACCGTGTGCCAGGAGCTGGCCGCCTCGTGGACCCAGCGCTCCGCGCTCCCCATCGTCGTCAGCATCGCCGCCGGCATCACGATGAAGAGCCTGCGCGAGTGGGTCCAGACGAGCGACGGCCGCTCCGCGCACATCGTGCGCGTCATGCCCAACACCCCCGCCTTGGTGAACGAGGGCGCCTCGGGTCTGGTCGCCAGTGAGGATGTCACGGCGCAGGAGAAGGAGGTCATCAACGAGCTTCTGGGCAGTGTGAGCAAGGCGACGGAGTGGGTGGATCGCGAGGAGCTGTTGGACGTTGTCACCGGGTTGTCCGGTATGGTTTTCCCCACCCCTTCAGATTTGCACCTTAAAGGGCTTCTAGATAACCGACTTGAAATTTAGGATCCGGCCCGGCCTATTTCTTCGCCATGGTCGAGCATCTGGTGGCCAGCGCGACGGCTCTGGGACTGTCCAAGGAGCAGGCGACCCGTCTGGCGGCGCAGACGTGCCTGGGTGCCGGCAAAATGCTGGTGGAGTCGGACGAGGAGCCCGCGCAGCTGCGCAAGAACGTCACCAGCCCCAACGGCACGACGCACGCGGCCCTGCAGACCTTCGAGGCGCTGAACTTCAAGGAGATCGTCGACAAGGCCGTGCAGTCCGCTACGGCACGGGCGGAGGAGTTGGGCAAGACCCTCGGTTAAATATGATCTTCGTCAAGTACAAAACATGACATAGAGTTTACGATTCGAACTTCTCTTCCATTCAGCTATAAACTCTTCTCTGAAGCAACTTGGTGCTTTGAAAATTGGCGTGGTAGCGTCAACATAGAACACTTAGACGAGACTCCGAGACAACACAACCTCTCGATGACCCATTACTGTACCACTACCGGTAAAAAACTCCTTTATGCACAAAGTTACAATTCAATTGCAAATTAATTCAAACAGAATCTTTTAGCTGACATGTAGTAGACCGAGCATTACAATACATCATTAGGGAAGATACATTAGAGCATGGCGCCATTTGGACTCCCCGTCAACACTTAGGTAGGGGAGGAAAGAGAAGGCGCTGGCTGGGGAAAGAGTACAAGGTTGATAGGCAAGGCACGAACCGAGAACCGGGCATTCCTTCAAGCGGCGTGCATGGCACCGTGCTTGCAGTATGTGCCCGCAGCGACGGATCCCATGTGGACCGGACGGCCGTGGGCGCACAGGGCCCAGCTCTTGCCGTCCTCGTCACAGATGATGGTGTTGTCGACGCAAGCGCCGCCGTGGGTGTTGCTGTGGGCGGCACCGTGAGCGGCACCGTGCACGTTTCCATGGGAGGAGCTACCGCTGCCGCCACCACTGCCACCAGGGGCAGCGCGGTCGGACTCGGCCTCTGCGGGGGCAGGGGCAGCAGGGGCAGTGGGGAGGAGCACGGTGTGCTCGGTGTTGGAACCAAAGGCGGAAGCCACCTTAGAGGCCGACGAGTGGGAAGAAGAGGAAGGGGAAGAGGATGGCGATGCATGCCCCGCTGCCGAGGACGTCAAGGCGTTGTGGGAGGAGGAAGAGGAAGACGCAGAGGGCGAGGCGGCGGAGTTAGAGCCGTGGGAGCCGCCCAGGAAATCCGCCGAGCCGGTGCAGGTGTAACCGGTGCCGGAGCCGCTACCCTCCACGGACGAGCCGGGCATGGGGAAGTTGACATCCTGGCCTTCTGTGGTCGTGCAGCCGCCCGGTCCGTTGATGTTGGCGATGAACATGGGCGGGGCGCTGCTGTAGCTGGCGACGGCCCCGGCGACCTCCTGCTGCGCAACCTCTCGCTTCTTGGAGCCACCGATGGTGACCTGGGCGCAGTTCATGTACATCTCGCGGTTGCCGACCTTGTTGAACCACGACCACGCCAGGAGCGCCTGCCCGCCGGGAGCGTCCGAGGGGATCGAGAACTGGTACTTGGAGGTGAGGGGGCATCCGCCGATCATCGAGTGGATCACCTTGAAGGACTTGCCCTGGTCGTAGGACAGGGAGATTTGGCAGGACCCTCCCTCGTGCGTGGCACTGCCCTGCAGTTCCAGGCTGTATGAACCACCGGGGGAGTAGTTGGCTACCGACGAGAACGGGTCATTCGCGTATCCCTTGCACGGGAAGTCGTGGCCGTCACTGGACAGAGGGTTGGTGTACGAGTAGTCCTTGTTGTCACCGCCGTTGGGGTTGAGGGGACTGCGGATGGGGTACGGGTTGGACATCTGGATGTGGGCCGACACCGACGAGGCCAAAAGGCCGCAGAGAAGGGCAACACTCTTCATCTTGAGGTATATGGGAACGCGTGGTTGTCTCTGACACGAAAGGGAGCCGACTAAGCTGGGGTAATCGGCTTGGTTAGTCGTGGGTTCTTTATGTCAAGGGTCTTCAACCTTGTGAAGGCTCGGGGTTATAACACTTACACTGCTTGTATCCACAGTCAGACAGATATGCCACAATTGCGCCAATGTTCACTGAGGTAGACAACGGCTCGTCTGCTCGTGTAGCGTTTTCAAGAGATACCCTGGGCTGCGCACGAAGGAGAAGGCACAGACGTCTCAACAGCAAGAGATGAAGGAAACCAGTTCCTATAAATAATATGAATAGCAAGTGGCATGCCTGACAAGCTTATTCCAGATCTCCGACTGGGTCCCTGGAGGAATGGTGGATGTCTTGCTGCAACGGAATGCAGGTCCGCGTAGGCTTGACAACAAAAGAGCCATCGGCATTCCGTGCCACCTGCTCGACCGAGTTTGCTGTCCGATGAGCCCGCTTCTTCTCCAACTTGCTTAGACTCTCTGGGACTACCTGTCAAGATATTGAAATTTCAGTGGAAGACTTCTAACTAATCTCCAACGTTGTTATAGCTCGCTCATAGCCATGACAAAGGCCGGACCCCGGCGTCAGTCGTGCGAATATGCAATGTAGAGTTTAAACCAGGAAAGTAAGCAACCAATAACAAATGAATCGTACCTAAGCTGAGTCTCTGATCGCCAGGCACAGTCTTGTCGCTAGTCTGTGCCACGGCTTTGAAGCACAGATGGTGCATCAACGGTTGTCCCACCGGTCGATCACCCTAGCTGCCTTGAGCAGCAAGTATTTAGACAGGCATCCACCCCCCAATCTCGAAACTTATTTTTGTCTCCCTCTTGCATCATAGTTCTGCCGTATTGGCCATCGTATTGGCTCCTTCTTTCGGCCGCAATGTCTCGCATCACGAGAATACTGAACACTGCGTCTTGGATTCCGCTCCCGAATGTTTTAGACCAAGTCCTCTGATCCAGGGTTTCAAGGTTCTCCCACTGGATACTTTGGCAAAAGGAGCCCCTGTCCAGCCAGTGAAGGAGGAAGCAAAACTATTCGTGCCCGTCCAACATGCCAAACGTTCCCAGGGCAGACAGGGGGGGCTGGGAATCTGGCTGAGCCCCGGGAGGTTTGCCACCCCCTAGGGGGACGGGCGAGTCAAGAAACAGACAAGCCAGATGTTACTCGTACTAATGTATAGCTTGAACTTAGGATCGGAGACTTTCATGAGGATCTGCAGCCCTTTCCGTTCCGCGCGCACTGGCCCCTGCAGGCACGTCTCACGGCCAGGAGGACTTGCTGTCCAAGGCATTCTTCGTCTGCCGCTGGTTCAGCGCCCGTGACGACATCGGTTTCATGTTGATGTTGCGCTATTGCTTTCTACTCCGTGTCAAAAGGTTTCGACGAGCTATGTTTTCCTCATCAAATTCGCGCAGATCAGAGCGCTGTGGCCGAACGGTGTCCGTGGTGTCCGTGAGGGTTCAGAAACATAGGTAAAAGGGCGCAAGGGGCTTCCCTCTTGGAGAGGGTATTTGACACGGTCCTCGGAACCTTTGGGCCAGAGGTAGTGAGCTGAGCAAGCCATGCTCAATGTCTGGAGAAACGCAAGAATTTTCCGCTCTGCTAATGCACCATACTTCTGTGAAATACGGAAGTCAGAGTGATTGGACTGGCGAGACGAGACCTGAGCTTTCAGGCAATGGTCTGCTTTAGACGTTCAGCTTCGAGTTGGCTTCAGCGAAGTAGTCAGAGACCCAGGGCCCAGTAGAAGCAGTAGATAGCAAAGAGAAGCTTATACACAAGAGAAATTCGATCGAGAAACCGAAGCTCGGATAGACTATTTGCGTAGTATATCCAGCCCAAAGCTTGACGAAGCGATCCACGCACCAGCACTAATCCTAATCCGGTAAGTAGATCGCAGGGCCCCGGTTCCAGTTTGCACCCCAAGCAAACAACAGCTTCCGATGATGAATGAATTGGCGTCACAATCCAATCCAAGCCAAGCTTGCCCGAATCATACGAACTACACATACAACCCGACCGACCTTTCTGAACAGAACACCCAGAGACAAAGGAAAATCATCACCATGTCCGAAGGCGGAGGCTGGAGCACCATTGAATCCGACGAGGTAAAGCAACGCTCCACAAAAATACAGCACAGAGCAAGACAATCTAACCGCCCGCACCGCGAACGCAAATAGGGCGTCTTCACCTCTCTGATCGAGAACCTCGGCGTCAAAGACGTGCAATTCGAAGAACTGATCTCCCTCGACGCCGGCACGATCCGCTCATTAAGGTACTCCCTTTCACTCACCAACCCAACACAAACCCTCCAACCATCCATCTCACTAACCAACCAAACCACCACCACGCAGCCCCGTCTACGGCGTAATCTTCCTCTTCAAATGGATCCGCGACCACCCCCCGTCCACATCCACAAGTACAACATCAACACAACAGCCACCCGCGGCAGGAACCCACGACGCCAACCCGCCACCAACGCTCTTCTTCGCGAACCAGACCATCCAAAACGCCTGCGGCACGCAAGCCATCCTCTCCGTGATCCTCAACCACGACACCGCGCCCCCCTCACCCTCCTCCCAACTACCAAAAATCGACATCGGACCGGAACTCCGCGCCTTCAAGGATTTCACCACGGGCTTCCCCCCGGATCTCCTGGGCGAGGCGCTGTCGAACAGCGAGCCGATCCGCACCGCGCACAACGCCTTCGCCCGGTCCTCGCCCTTCGTCGACGAGACCCAGCGCGCCCAGCAGGATGAGGAGGGCGGGGACGTCTATCACTTCATCGCGTACACGCCCGTCGCCGGCCGGCTGTATGAGCTGGACGGCCTGCAGCCGCATCCCATCGTCCACGGGGACTGTACCCCCGAGGACTTTCCCGAGAAGGTCATCGAGGTGATCCAGCAGCGCATCGCCCGGTACCCCGAGGGCGAGACGCGGTTCAACCTCATGGCCGTGTGCCGGGATTTGCGCGTCCGGGCCCGCGAGTTCGGCGACGCCGAGGCACTGGAGACCGAGGAGCGCAAGCGGAGGGCCTGGGCGTGGGAGAATACCCTGCGCAAGTCGAATTTCGTGGGCTTCATCGGGGAGGTCATGAAGGGGGTGGCGGGCATGAAGGAGCAAGAGGGCAAATTCGACGAGTGGGTCGAGGGGGCCAAGAAGGAGACCCAGAGGAAGTTGATGCGGAAGTGATTTCCCCGCCCTCTCTCTTTACTATGGCTCGCAGAAGGTTGCCTGTGGCTCCTTTGGATGATGAACTCAATTTAGAATCAGTGATGTGATGATACTCCTGGCTATGTAGGTATGATGTATGTATGTACAGTACAAAGACAAACATATGGCAGAAGAAAAGATCGCTTCGTCATTCATGTCCGACCAGTTTCCGTCCTTATCGTGTGTGATCATCAGAGGCCACCTAGTACTTGGTGATCCGTGACTTGATTTGTTCGACCATTGGCGCCGGCAATTCATCCTCTTGTACAAATCCCATCGACAAGAGGTCAGACCAGAAGAACATGGCGCGGTCTTGCGCATATGCGAGGTAGTCGAATTCGTCAGACTCATCGACATCCGCGTCCACCGGGGAAGTCGAGGTAGGCACATTAGTAGTCGTCTCTACGTGCGCGCGGTTACCATTCGCGGTATCACCTTGACCATTGGATGCTATGGCGTCCGCATTGATACCTTCTTCCATGCCTGGAACCTTCGCTTGGACAATTCCCCAAGCCACCCACTGAGCGGACGTGATCACGCGCCAGAGCTTTGTCTGCGTCATTAGGGCCTGAATCTTGGCTTCTATACCGTCCGCATGAGATCTCTCGATATCCACACTAGCCATCACATCCAAATCTGGACCGGCATCGAGACTCAGCGGCGCAAGAGAAGTCGAATTGGAAGTACCTGCCCGCATCAGTGGCGTGATGGACGGCGAGGCCTGCTCGCGCAATCCCGGCCGATGGCTGAGGTAAGCACTGATGAACTGACGTTGCTGTGCCGGAGTTGGGTATTCCGTATTGTTGCACGCCCAAGGTCTTTCCGCGTCGTGATAGTTGTAGCACCATTCAGACTGTCAATGTGGGTTAGTGATGAATTGGCAGAAAGCTCTAGAAAGTACTCACGAAGTGGTTCGCGAATTCAAAACCGGGCGTGTTCGCCGAAGCATATTCGAAATCAATCACCACGAGCTGCTTATGCTTGTTCTCAGGACGAAGCAGGGGCGACTCTTGACTTGGCTCCATTCTCAGGAGATTGCCATATTGTGTCTCGACACTCAGTCAGCATTTTATCCATGAAAGGTGGAAGCAACAGACTTACATCGTTGTGCGCAAAGACAAGTTGCTGTTTCAGGGCATTACTTCCGCCGCAACTGGAGATGAGCCACTTGCGATAATTGTCGACTGCCCTTCTGAATACCGGCCAGGGAACACCGCAAACAAAGCCTCGCCGACGCCATGGCTCTGAGATTGACTTGCTTGCGCTGTGCTCAGATTGAATCTCCTTGTCCAGCCAGTTGATGACCTGCTCGCAACGGTCGACCCATTTGTCCCAGTTCTTGAAGACCATCGGCCCTCCTTCCCTCTCTTCTGGGAGCAATTCAACCCCGTCATGAAGTTCTCTCATCCGTTTGGCAATCTGCTTCATAGTGAGAGGATCCCGAAGCTCGCGGGGTGTCAAAGGACGGGCTTCGAAATACTCCTCAAAACGTCCGTTCTGAAAGGTACCTAGCACTTTGGGACCGATGTTCTTACGGCCTAGGCGCCGAAGTATCTGTAACTCGTTTTCTCGATCAATCAAGTGATCCACCTGCGGGCCATAGATGCGCAACAGAAGCTTCCTGCAGGGGATTAGATCATCTCTTATGACTTTTATCTGACGTGGGAAAGGAGGCACTTACGGAGGAGGCTTTCTCGCAACCAAAGAATAAGAACCATCCTCGGCCTTCGGGACCGGAATGTGATGTGGCGGATTCACCACATACACCGCATTTGTCAGAGCACCGCTGAGTCGAATGACCTCGATGTCGGCGGCGAGATCCATGGGTAGCTTTCGCCATCCCTTGAACTGCAAGGTGTGCGCGATGCGGAGTATCTCAGTCTTGAAAGCCATCCAGGCTTCTCTGTCTTTGGCGCAACGGACACTGGCACCTTGTTCGCTGTCATCATCGTCTGCGCCGCCTCCGCTGTAGGCTAGGGTCTTAGAGTTGTCCAGCACCGCATCCACACTAGGAGCAGCAACGTCGAGATCCGAAAAGTCCGACTCGGAAGCCGAACCTCTTCGTAGTCCTCTAGATCGATGGCGTCGAAGTCGCCGCACAGCACCGTAGTCCTGTCGCGAAGCAGCGTACTGTAGCAAGATTTTCTCGAGCTTGTCGAGAGCCATAGGAATCTGTGTGCTGGAAGACGACCTCTCCTCTACTGACATGCCGGTGCTATTGCTGCCTGCAACTTGGCCAGCACTTGCTGCGTCATCCGGAACACCAGAACCTAGTGAGCGATGAGAACCGCGCTTAGATCTCTCATGTTGAAGCCATTCATACACCTGGCTGTAAAGACTATTCTGCGAATCTTCTTCGCTGTACTTCATACTGGGATCCTTTTCGTCGCGTATGGCAGATTCAGTCAAATTGCTGGAACTCTGGCTACTGAGAGAGGTCGGTGGATGGATTGACGGTCGAGCTGTCGCTTTCTTGGGCACCGGGGCCCGGTGGTGCTTAGGAATGTTTGTTTCCGACGAAGTCGCAGAGTCCGAGTGGCCGGTCGTCTGACGACGTCTTTGGAAAGCCACATTTAAGCCGGTTCCCATGATCGGTTGGGGCCCTTGACAATTGGTCAGAATCCAGCAACATCAAGTGACAGCACAACGAAGACAACGAATGTGCCAAGGGACGTTGAGCTTGAGACGGTCGAAAGCACGGTAAAAGTCGCAGTGGGCTATACATAGATCTGGTCCAGAAACAAAGTTTCCAGGAACCTACAGCTACAGGAGAGGCACAAACCGGAGAAAGGACAGGGCATGGAGCGGAATTGTGCTCAGACCTACCATCATAGTCGAGACCAGACTCAGAGGTCTGGCCGGTAAAAGAGGGCATGTTCAGGATACAAGACCCAGATTGGGAGAAGCAGAAACCGTCTGCGCAACGATAAGTTCAACCACAGAGGTTGATGCTGGTTAGGCCGCGCGTCTGTGTGCTGGAGGTTTTGTCAGTCGGGGACGAAGAACTCAGGAGCTTTTTTGGGGGGGGTTATCCATACTATAAGTCATGTAGACCCGCAGGGGACACTGGAGCGCTGGCGGGCCAACAACGGGGTAAAAAGTGTCAAAGAGTCCCGGGGAAGTTCGTACAGGAAGAATTCCAAGCGGAATTGGCACAATGGCGGGAAAACTGTTGAATTTGACCAGAATCGAAAAGAGGAAAAGAGGGTGACCAAGTGGGGGGTGGAGCGATAAAGGTGCCGTTCAGCAGCTGGCTCGAAAATACGGTCGGCGGACGGTCTCGATGGGGTTCCACTTAGGACCACAATCACATGTGATCAAGAATGAAGTGAGAAAGGGAAGAGTAGGCGAAGATGGCACGATTGATGTGCGAGAGTAAAATACTTATTATGAGGGTGTAGGTGGTACACCACTACGGGCAATTCAACAATGATGTCGAAGGAATGAATATCAAGCAAGTGAGTGAGTGAGTGAGTGGCAAATGACGATGTGTAGCGGCCGTGCAAACGGAAGGTGTGATGGGAGAGGCCCGGGGCAGGGAGGGAAGAAAAGGTCAGGATCTCAGGTGACCTGCCAGTCCCGCCCATCGATTATCAAACTCGGCGGTGAGCTCGTCCCACGAAGTGTTTCTACGGACAATCAAGCAACATCTGCGAGCACACGACAACCGGCAACACATGCAAATCTCAGTGTTTGCTTGTTTCCCCATTCAGGCTCAGCACTTTTCTGAGGGTTAGAGACGGGTCGCGATATCGGCAAAGCAGCTGAGACAGACAACTGTCTGCTTCAATCTCATTCCCGGGGCAGTGTTTGGTGAAATAAGCCGACCGCTATGCCAACTGGCGCTATGGAGAATGTTGAGGGATTGTCTCACTCAAGTATAATATTAATGATATTTTGGCTGCCAAGGTTCCGCTGTGATTCTCAATTTAAGTGGGATCCGACACTTGCAGTAGGCTCGCATGGGCCTTGACCCTATCTGCCATAGACCAGGAGCCGAGCACGTCAGGCATGGCTAATTTCCGATGTCGATCTGCGATCGAGCTTACAGGTGCCGCAGCCTGTAGTTGTATATTATCGCTACTAAGGATACTGTTGAAAACACACCTACTTCAGTAGACCCATCGAGAAGTGAAGAGACGTAGATGATATAAGTATTGCTTACAATATCGCGACCTCTGGATAACTTAGGTACTGCATCGCCTAACTGGTAATTCGCAGTTGATCGGGTCACTCAAGCAAATTGTTGGGGGAGGGTCCCTGGTTCGCCCACTGCAGTGGCCAAGTTCCTGTGCTGTGTTTGCGTTTATGCATGCTTAGTAACTAGGCATCGATATTTCCAGAACTCGGTGCCTCGCTCAGCCACCGGAAGGCATACGTAGTGGGTCGCTGAGCCGCAATCGCATGTCCCTCGATCTACAGGATTCGCCGGACTGCCCCCAAACCACCAAAGACCACCATTCGCTGTTCCGTCAAATCCGCGCGAGCAAGTGGATGCGCAAAAGCCGACAGCCACGGTGGCTTGGGACGGCAATGCCATCGGTGAATGGATGCTATTCTTATTTCTGGAAATCTGACCGATCGGAAGGGGTCGGGCAACTGTTGGAACTGGGACGAAACTGGGACCGGACCCTCCAGGGGACTGACGATCCCCAAATTTCAGGTCCTTGGGGGTTTTGTGTACCCATCGTTTGCCGCATCTGCCGATTGTTATAAATTGTTCGTCCTTCGTCGTTACCTAGCGCTGATCTTCTGTAATCTACTTTTATTCCTGGACATTCACATAAATACCCCTTATACCCATATACCCCGGGTTCAATCACAGTTATCATCAGCGTTCCTTATCCTTATCCTTATCTCGCCTAACCACTTTCCACCCACCACCTCTACTATACAACTCTCGCCCTCAATCCTACCAACCATCCACAAAATCACAAGAAACCGTCAACATGCAACTCCAAACCCTCCTCCTGACCACCGCCTTCCTCAGCGGCTCCGCCCTCGCCGCCCCCCAGGGCGACATCGTCGGCAGCATCGTGTCGGGTGCCGAGGGCATCGCGCAGACGGTGGCTTCGGGGGCGGAGAACGCGGCGACCAACATCGTCTCGGCGGCGACCTCGATCGCCAGCGCGGCCGAGACGGGCGGTGCGGCCGCCGCCTCCGACGCCCGCTCCTGGGGTGAATCGGTGGCCTCCAACGCCGAGTCCTACGGGCAGTCGGTCGCCTCCGACGCGCGGTCCCGGGCTTCCGATGTCGCCTCCAAGGCCTCCTCCCGCTGGGACGACCTGACCACCCTCACCGGCACCAACGGCGAGGCCACGGCCACCTCGACTGTCTCCGGCGGGAACACCGCGACGGTGACCACGGCGACCGCCACTACGACCGGTACCACCTCCACCACTGGTACGTCGACTGGCAACAGCCGCAGCAGCAGCAGCAGCAGCAGCACGGCCTCGAGCTCCAGCTCCGAGGGCGCGGGTGTCCAGGCTACTCCCGCTGCAGTGTTGGGCTATGGCATCGCCGGCGTGGCGGGTGTCTTGGGAGTGATGGCCGCTTTGTAAAGCGCGGAGTTGGCCTGACCACTTCAAGGGTCACTTTCGGGCTTGTTTTCCATTCAAGAGATCACGATTGATCCAGGTACCCTTTCTTTTTCGGGTGGACTGTACATGACACTATTCGACATACCATTGTTCATAACTATATCCCCGCGTCGTCGCTTTCCTTTTTTTTAATCGCATGCTTGATAAATAGCATTCAGTCCATAGAACAATGCTTCTTTTCTATTCCTCTTCCGCTAAAATCACCTATAAGCTCTAGCCTAGTGTACAGTACTCCTCGCGATGATTCCATCGTAGTACCGAAAACCCATGCGAGTAGATGCCTTACCCATCATCGCGTGAACCACCGGTGACCAATGGTCCATACCCGTGACCTGACCCAAGGTTCTCCCGGCGACCAACCCCGTTGCGCATAGCAGCCAGCCATCAAGCACGGCACTTCCACGATCCTACCTCTTACACCCACACCCACACCCACACCTACACCTACAACCAACAACCACCAAACCTTCAACCCCCGTCAACTGTAAACTGTAACTGATCCCCCGCCTCCCACGACAAATTCCTGACCTACTCCCCATGTCCGCAGGTGCATACTGAAGTATACTCACCAACCATCCCCGATCGCCCATCAAACCGCGTGGCGCAGCGCTGCGTCCGAGTGTCCCCCCCCCACTAAAACGAGCAAGATCATCCATCCCCAAATGCGTAGTCCTCTCTCGTCGCGTCGCCAATTGCCAAGTGACTCAGCGGCAATGCCGGGGCGGGGGGGGTTGCGCGGCTTCCTCTTCCGTTCCATGTCGTGTAGCATGTGATCGTGGCGGGAGTATAAACCCCCCCCCTCGGATGGGTGTATCTTTCTTCATCCGTCGCGGATGGATGTTGAGGACGGCGCTGCGGTCGGCCGGAGGGGTTTTGGGGAGTGGCGGTCTGTGGTGGATTGTGGGTTTGATTTGAGTTTTATGTATGCGATTCTCATGCGTAAGCTTCACTGCCATGCTATGGTGCATCGACGACGTGGCGTGCTGACGAGGCATTGTGGGTGATTGCCTCGATCAGCCTGCGGTGGTTTTTTTGTGGGAGGGGGCGCAGTTGACATTGGTAGTGTACTGTAGATGATCCGGGGCTCGACGACGAGTGTGCGATGCGATCCAGCCTGGATTTAAAGTCGTTGAATGTTTGGGTAATGGGTCGCTGAGAGTTCCCCAGCATTCAATCTTACTGTATATCATGCACGATCTCAAGTCATCGGAGATTGTATTAACTGTAGGTAGGTAGGAAGGTACTGTACTCAGACGCCAGCTAGGACTATCGAACGGAAAATGCAAGAACTTGGCGATGTGAAAAACCACAACCAGCAGCTTCGGATAATGTACATTCAACTCCATATATCCTGCTAGCACAAACTGCCCTCCACCCAAGAAAACAAGATTACACCTCCGTGGTGTGGGAGGTGGAGGGCTGGCCATCGCCCACGCGCGGGATATGGGCGGCGCCGGCTTTCTCCGTCGCGGAGCCGCGGCGATCATAGGGCTGCAGCTCCTCGAACTGGAACTTGGAGCTCTTCCAGGGCGGCACGCGCATCACGTACATGGTGTCGATCTCCTCCAGGGTGCGGCCGCGGCCCTCGATCACCGTCAGGTACACCAGGCCCGCGGCCAGGAACAGACAGCCGGCGAAGACGTAGCCGAACCGGAAGTCGATCGCGCTCGTGATGAAGGGGGTGAAGAAGGCCAGCAGGAAGTTCCAGAGCCAGTTGGACGCGGTGGCCAGCGACATGGCCCGCGCGCGGTACTCGGACGGGTACAGCTCCGCGATGATCGTCCACACCATGGGGCCCCACGTAGAGGCGAACCCCAGGATGAACAGACAGGCGAACACGACCATGACCACCCCGGCGGTGTGCGTGCTCTCCGGGTCTTCCCGGTCCAGTTCGAAGTGGCCCACCGAGGCGAAGATCATGAAGCACACGAACATCCACAGCGCGCCGGCGATCAACGACCGCCGACGGCCATAGTTCTCGATCAGATACAGACCCAAGAACGTGGTCCCGAAGTTCACCCCACCGAGGATCATCTGTGTGACGTAGCTGTTACTGATCCCGGCGCCTTGGAAGATAGTTGTCCCGTAGTAGAAGAAGTAATTGGCCTGGGGTCTTTGTTAGCGAGTGCTATTTTGGGAGCAGGCGGGATGGCTCAACTTACCCCGGTCAGTTGTTGCAGTGCCTGGAGAGCCACTCCGACTGCAATCCGGTACTTCATGCGCGGCCCCTTGAAGAGCTGGACCCAGCTCACCTTCCCACGCGCCAGTTCCTCCTCGTACTTTTGCTTGATCTCATCGAGTTCTTCCTTCAGTCTGCGGTGATTATGGGGAATCCCGTACATCTTGGCGATGGTGTCGGTTGCTCGCTCAACCTTGCCGTGCCGATAGTCGTATCGGACGGTTTCGGGGAACAGCGAAATCCCCACCCCCAGGATGATCGCCCACAGGTAGGTGATGCCCATGGGAATGCGCCAGGAGGCGGTGCTGTCCATGTCTTCGGTCCCGAAGTTGATGCAGTTGGCGACGAAGATGCCCAACGTGATGAACAGCTGGTAGGTACTGGTGCGGTATTAGTGCGCGGTAGAAGATGACAGGGGACAGGGAGCAAGCATACCTGACCAGTGAGCCACGGATGTGTCTTGGTCCAGTTTCGGCTTGATACATCGGCACGAGCAATGACAATGCCCCGACCCCGAGGCCTGCCACCCAACGACCCATGGCCACTTGATACCACTTCCCGGACGGAGAGGATATCTGAACCGTGATGCCCACACACACCATGGCCGACCATCCACTAATGGACCATTTGCGACCCACGCGATCTGCGATGGGAGCTGCGACGAGAGCGCCGATCAGGGTGCCGACGGACAGCTGAAGGAATGCGTTAGCCTCGTGAGCAAAACTTTAGAGCAGAGGGACAGAGCTCTTACCAACGCCACGATGAGGCCCGAGCGGGCATTGGTAAAGTAATACGTGCCATCGGAACGCTGTTGGCCGTATCGTTGAAGGAAGTTCGGCATCTCTAAGAAGCCGGAAATCTGACCCGTGTCGTACCCGAAGAGGAACCCTCCCATCGACACGAAGACTCCCATGAGAAAAGAGCGCCATGTGAGGAGCGGAATGGGCGTGTCAACTAGTTCTTCCTCTTTTGCTTCTTGGATCGGCGCCGTGGAGAGTGTTCTATCTGCCGTGGCCCCATTGTCACCGGCAGAGTAAGTGTCGGGTCTACCTCCCGGTCGCCTCAGCTTGGAGAAGACCATTGTTCGCTAGCTTGCTTCGTGCTTCGTTCGTTATGTCAAAGTTGATCGGAATCCAGTCATACAGAGATTTACGAGATCCCAAACCGAGCTGTAACCGGCCTACAGAAGCCGTTATATAGACCTCAAGACCTCATAGTATACGAAACACGCGAGACACGAGGAGATGGATGATGAATCATGATGTCACGAAATCGCAGCTTCCCGCATCCCTATTTCGTTTGAATCTTCTAGATGGAGGTGTCAGCGACAGCATTCGTCTCGGATACTTAATCGAGAGACCAGGGTCTTTTCCCCGGAGTGAGCCCATGTCAGGTGCTCACGTGGAGGGGTTGGGTGGCCGGGTTCCCATGGCTCGGTACGGAGTACTTGAGTACTGGTTGTGCACTACCTATGCTGACTGGCTCCCGGCCGCCGCATGCAACAGCCACGCCGTGGAACCCGCACCAACCCCGGACGGCGACGAAGTCTAGGCGTTCATCATGTCGCCTGGCCACGATCTGGGGAAAAGTCTATCATTATGTCATTTATGTCATTCACTCAGAGGGGCAGTCCCCACGACCAATATGACAGGTTCTTTTACGCCCCATGCATCAGGTGGCTTGATAGATACCACCCGGCCGTCCATGGATCGAGAGATCGGGCTTCCTGGCACAACTACCCTACTGAGCAGGTGGTGCTCGGTCACGGCCGAGCAAGCGGAGGCCTGAATCATGAGTTGGGCTTCAGCTTCATTGTCAGACTCTCGGCGATCCCGAGAGGGCCGTTTCGAGGCATATCGCCGTGATCTGTGGCAAGGGTTGGCAGACAAAGAGCCGCTCCACGGGCAGAGAGGAAGTCGGGGGATTAGGACTGTATCTGTGTGACATAGCTGTTTGAGGTTCCGTGGTCATACCACAGTAGAAACAGTCGGCTCTGAGTCAATTCGATGCCTAAGGTAGAGACGCATGGGGGACTTGACGCACGGCCCCTTGACCTTTACCACCTTGTCTTTGTCAAACAAGATCTTGCTTACCACAGGTTCTGTTGCTCTGCATAAGCCTCGCATGTCAGATATCATAGTCAAGCTGTGTAGTGTTGGTTCCCAACTACAGCCTTTCACTACTGAACGGTACATACATCATCAAGCAACCATTGCTGCCCCTGGAAACACAATCAAGCAACTGCAACAAGAATGACAAACACTCTCTCAACCAAGTACCAGTAGCCTGAAACATTGCAATTTATCTGGAATCCATCAATCTCGCAATAAAAACTTGCACAGGCGACGCAAGTAGCACATCGCGGCCTCCCATATTACCCAAACCGGCCGTCCTTCGATCCGGGCACATGCATCCAACAAAAGAAACAAGATCACTCTCCCGAGTCCCAGCAATGTGCGATAGACAGTCGACCACCAGCAAGAATACCTAAGGTACCTATAGTCACTCATATCTCCGCCTCGAACCACACCTCCCTTCCATTCTTGCAGCCCTAATCGAACATCAGAGTCCGCAACCATCTTGTGGAATATTCTCCCCTCCCCGGCTCGACTTGACAACCCTCTTCCCCAGACCAGACCCTCCTTTAATTCCGACCCTGCCCTTGCTGTTGCCCTTGCTGTTGCCCTTGTTGTTGCTGCTGCTGTTGCTGCTGCGCTTCCTCGACCTTCTTCGAGATCCCGGTGGTAGGCGTGTCATTCCTGGCCAGCATCATGGCCCTGCTCGTCTGCATTGATTGCATCGTTACCAAATCAAACAATCCCATTAAGCTCGCAAGGATCCAGCAACGTACCTGCTTCTCGCCCAGCGCCACCGCACCTGTGTCTGGAACCGGAACTGCCATTGCCACTGTCGCCATGAAAACCGAGACCAGGTACGCGAGCTTCATGTTGATTCTATGGTGTTTTGCAGAAGACGGAATCAGACTTGGGGTTGGGGGGACTTAGAGAAGCTTGTCACGGATCGTAGCGGATTGGATTGGATTGGATCGGATTGCTCTGCGATAGAATCTGGTAGGTTAAAGGTAAGATAAAGTTGCTGGGAGGTTGGAAATGAAGGGGTTGCAGTACAGTATATCCCTGACTGCTGTTCGAGTTGGTACATATACCTCGAAACTCACCGGACAGAAAAAGATCACCTCGAACTTATGTACAGCACCTACCAAGTAACCCCCTGGATTAGCTACTCGCTAAGGCACCTAAAACAAACTTGTCACTCCAAAAATAAATCGCCGCGCAGCGCAAAAAGAACAAGGCTATTGACAATTATCTGATACATCTTCTCGTTAGTTCTCTCCCAGCATTCGCTTACGGTAGATTGTCATTAGTCATTCCTGGGGTCCGCTCCCGACGTACTTTGCACGGTCACGAAGGATGATGCTATACAGGAAATTTATGGGTGCATTGATCGACGGGGGAGGTAGGGAGCCAGCCAGCCACCACCGATACAACCGATCACGGATTAAGGAAGAACCTCGAGCAGGCAACCACTACTAGGAGGCCTGAATTGGATCCCAAAGAATACCCCGTCGGACATGATCGGCCCAATTGCAGTGGCCCCTCCTCAGTGAGGCAGATCAGGCTTCTGGCTAGTATTAAAGCGGCAAGTGTTCGTCCCGGGACGGACCGGACTTCCCCCCCCCTTTGACTGGGGTTTTGGGATGAAGCAACCTCAGCTGAACCCCGTATCTACCGACCTGTCACTGCACCAAAGGTGGGCTACCAATGGAGTACAGTACTCAGGCTGCATGTAAAGCTAGGTCTTCGGCCGGAAGGTGGACCTTCGGCGGGTCCTGGTGGAGTTGGGATCGACTCCGACTCTATTGTTGGGGGTTCTCTGACAGCTGGTTGGGGATTGTGTTCTGGTGAGATTGTCAGGGGGTAGTGGTGGTGGTGGTGTCGGAAGTCTTCTTCCGTTGGTCTGGAACGCTTTGCTGAAAGGTTGGCTTTGCCGCCGCTAGAGCCTTTCACACCTCAGTAAGCGTAGTCATTCTACCTCACTGCGCTGCTTTGCTTCTTCGCTTCTTTGCAGTGATAGTGGTGGTGAGAGAAGCCGTGGCATGAGCCCCATTATCGTCGACATTACGGAGAATGTGGCTTGCCTAGGCTATAACTTTGGCTAGACGAACTTGGTGCTGGATATAAGAAATGAGAGGGAGGTGAGGCTTGAGGGGATCCTCGGAGAGACCAAGTCGCAGCTTCGTAGGGAGTACTAAAGGCCCCATATTTCCCAGTATGCAGCAGACCCATCATTCGATCTGGGCTTGACGCCTCAATTGGCCCCGGCCGTCTTTGTGGTTTGGATTTGCATGCTGCGCCGACGCATGGAATGAGATGATATGACGCGTCACACAAGTTTCCAGAACCTCCTCCTTCCCTTCTCCACACTGGTACAGTACTTCGCTTATGCGTACTTCGTCGAAGCCTCCCAAATGGCTCTCGCCATTGGATGGGGTAAGTGGAAAGAATTGTGATCTATCTCATCGGAATATGCAAATAATCTTTCATAGCGTACATATTCCCCTTTTAGTCCCTCGAGAGTGCTTTGGTGCTTTTCACAACTGTGATCGTCGAATCTCCCAGGAGTCTAGCCTGGATCATGCGTCGGTTTCCCACACAGATCTGCTGTCATCTTCCGTTCGGAGCAGCCCCCTCCCCAGTGGACTTTTAGACACAAACGTACAGCACAGTCAATAAAAATAAGGCTAGATCGGACACTGGACGCCATGGCGCAGAAGTACCAGTACCAGGAACGGGATGAGTGGATCAGGCTGTCCTGTCAAGTGCGCATTGACTTTGTTCGATGGTCGTCTTCTAATAAAAAACCTGGTCGATCAATTCGGATCGCCCCCCTATCTGTTCGAGTTGGTGGTCTGTCAGAAACCAGAACCCAAGGAGTGATACTGTTTGTTCCCACAACCAACTCTACACGACTCAGACAAAAGGCAACACCAGATACGAAGCATACTCGCCTCCCCCGTAAACCACATGGGGCCCTTGATTCTCATTGTCCGGCTCCGCCAGCCGCATGAAGTCCACCTCCGGGAAACACATATCGTGGCCCGACACACGGAGCACGATACCCTCCCCGGGCCCAAAGACCATGCCCATCGGCCAGAGTCCGATGTCCAATGGTACAATGGTACCGGGGGCAATCGGCTCCCGTCGATCATGCCGGTACATGATCTCGTCCGCGGTCGATCGGGCTTCTTCATCATCATCACGAGTGACCGCGTGCGAGGCGCGCAGGAAGCCCGACGGGCCCAGGGTTTTGACGGTGTTCACATTTGGGACTTCCGTCACCGGCACGGGACACGGATAGTTGAGATGCTCGAGGAGCTTGCCGTCGCGGTTGATCTTGCGGATTTGCACCGCGACGTCCAGGTCATCGTGGTCTGGACAGGACATCCAGAGTCGAACCTGCGGGTATCCGGCGAGTTCGGTGTATTGTTCAAAGTATAGGACGAAATCCTGGATGGTGCAAGCGGTTAGTGCGTGATTAGAGAAGATTCATGGGGAAGTGCTCACCGAGCTGGCTTTCAGGTCGTGTCCTGCATGTGCGACGGATGATACAGTAACTGGCTGCTGTGGCTGCAACGTCATGGTCTCCGGCCTGAGATAGAACTTCTTTAATTCCTGCCGCGCTAATGGATACTCCTTCTCAGGTCGTTCACAAATTGTCTGCACAACACTATCTTCGAACCCGAGCAGCGAGAGTCTGACTGGCGGGGTACTCTCCTCCCAGCCATTCTCAACGCCCTTGAGATACCGATCAAAGTATCGTGCCAGGTCTTCGACCATCTCCGGACGATAGAGGTCGTACCATTCCTGATAGGGATGCACACGGAGCCATTTGCGCGGGCTCTGGGCGGCACGGAACGTCTCGAAGGAGCCACGGGTATGCAGCATGGACGAATACGAGGCCAGAACATACAGCGGCACGTCGCCAATCCGTTCCGGGTGAATGCGCTTGCTCTGCCAGTAGTCATCATAGAAGGGCCGCTTGCGGATCATGGCCGGCATGTTCTCCGCGGCCCCGTGGCCGGCGAAGCCCGTGAGGATCATGGCGTGGAACCGCTCGTTGTGCGGCCGCCCCCCACGGAACACCAAATCCCGGTAGAGATCCGTGAGCCCCTCCCACGGCGCGAGAGCCTTGAGGGCCGGGTGCGCGAGCCGCGAGGCGAAGTTGACCTGCGCAATGGACAGCCACGAATTGCCGGCCATGCCGACCGAGCCGGAGCACCACGGCTGCCGCGCCAGCCAGTCGATCGCATCCCAGATGTCCTCGGCCTCCTCCTGGCCCCAGAACGCGATATTGCCCTCCGAGTCGCCGCACCCGCGGGCGTCCACGTTGACGACCGCGTAGCCACGCGCGGTCCATTCCGCCGGGTCGGGCCCTTCGAACTTCTCGTAGCCGGAGGTGCGTCCCTTCTCGAGACCGGCGCGGAACGGGGCCATGCTGTCGTAGCTCTGGGGGCCGGTGCCGGTCTTGCCGTAGGGGCTCCAGGGCATGATCGCTGGAACGGGGACATCGTCCGAGTCGACGGGCCGGAAGATATCCGCGTAGATCTTGATGCCGTCACGAAGGGTGATTGCCACGTCTCGGCCGTAGATCATGTCTGTAGGCAGTGATCGGAACCCCGGAGATCGGACATGACCCTTGGGAAGGATGGCCTCGCTCGGTTGGAAGCCGTAGTAGGTGAAAGTCGGGTGGTCAGTTGGAGGGGTGAGTTTGTGCCATTCGAGATCAGGGAAGGCTGCGCGAATCGACTCTTCGGTAGTGGCCATGATGGAGGTTGATAGTATCGACATGAAGGATAGTCTGTGTTGGATTCTTTGGAGGCATGCTTGCTATTTATGATCATGAGAAGGTCAATCAATATCTCCACTCCCCCACATGCCGGGGCTAGGAGGAGTTGGTGCGGAGAAGCACCCGTTGGCAATTGCTGATGGTCAGAAGTAGGACGTTGGGAAGTGGGAAGTGGGAAGTGGGAAGTGGGAAGTGGGAGGTGGGAAAGGTGGGTTGTAGAGAGGTGGGAGAGTGGGGAGAATCAATAGCAGGTGAATCACTATGGGTGAACTGGAAAGAACTCGAAGCAACTCAATTTGAATTGTCGCAAGTTGTAGCCTGAGGCACAAGGCTGGTCCTCAATCGCATCAAGTCCTCACTGACTGTAGCATGCAGGGTAGGCGTGCAGCTATTTGTTTTGAAGAACAAATTACGGAGTACAGCGGAGATGATTTTTAAGAAGACTTCAATCAACAATAAACATTAGTAATATTGTACTGATTTCGCAGCACTATACACCGGAAAAGCAGACCTCTATATACAGCGGGCTTCAAGTTAACAGAACTTGTAAAAGATAATGACAGACAACAGGAAAGTGAAAGTAAACCTCTAAACGCCGACACCCCGGAACCAATGTATGCACCATGGATAATCAAAGAAAGTGAGTGGTCTCACAAGATTAGTACAACATGTTGTTCAAGATTCACAGAGAAAGAAAGGTCTAATGCTTGGGCATGACCGCAAGCTCATAGTCCACAGGCACTTCCGGCCACGCGTCGATTCCGTCCATGATGGCCATTGCCAGTCCACCGCTGTGGTGCATCTGGATGTGGCAGTGCATAAAGAAAGGACCGGGGTTGTTGACGTGGTATCGGAGTGCCATCCAGCTGGGAGCACCCAGGGATGGTGGGGTCTGGAAGGTGTCACGCATCTGAGGGGTTTGCAGGTTGAAGCTGCTTGGGATCTTCTTCATCGCCTCCTCGACAGAGGAGTAGGTCCAGGCCGAATTGCCCTGTCCGATCACGTAAAACTTGTTCGAGTGCTTGTGGATCGGATGTTGAGGCTGACCGGCAGTGGTGACATTAAGGATAAGATCCACCCAGGTATCATTCAAGGTTGCGATCATGTTCTGGGTGGGAATCGAGGTGGGATCGAACAGTGCTGGGAATTGAACTTCCTCGAGATCCATCGGATAGGACTCATTTCCTAGCCTCCAGCCATACGAGGTCGACAATTGAGCAATGTCGAGAATGAATGTCTTATTGGCATATGCCGCAGGCGGCTCGCGGGGGAATGGAACGAGGGTGTTGTCATCGAGGATGCTTTTACTGCGATCTAGAACAGTACCAAGCTCATTAATGTATTGCCCCGACGAGCTAGTCGAACCAGGCCTGCTGTTGCTGGTCGGCACGGTTCTCTGCGGACTGGTTACGCTGGGGCTGCTAGACCCTTGGTTGGTGTAGGTCAAAGTCGCTGTGCCATTAATGATCTGGTTGGCATACTTGTTGGCCGCACGGACTGTGTATGATCCAGCGGGCTGATCCAATTTCAACATCACCGAATATCTTGAGCCAGCGGGGATATTGATCGCGTAGGTGGTGGATGGTTCAACATAGCGTCCATCAACCGCATAGACAATCATCGGATGGTTGTCAATGGAGAACACTAGCGAGGCACTGCCAGCCATACTCAATACATCATAACTGACATATTTCTTGGAAGCATCGACATTGAACACCTGATTCGGACCCTGAGCCGGCACGCAGCCCTCGAAGTAGCCCTTAGGAATTTTGGTGAGATCAAAGTCGTATCGTGCATATCGTGACGCAGTAGGTGGCATACATCTGGTTGCAGTCATGTTCAGCACGAAGATCAGAGAGAGAATATCGACGCAGAACTCACCCCATATCACTCATTTTCACATCTCCCAATGCCTGGCTTTCGCCCGCTCGGGTAAGAGAGTCAATATGATCCTGACCGGGACAAATGACAGAACCCTTTCCATTAACTAAAATGGAACTGGCACAGTAGCTTGAGAAGCCAGAGTCTTCTTGAATCTGAAGAATCTCTTCGGAAGTGAATAGACGCCAGTCAGAGATAATAACGGGCTGTGTTTTCTTTTCAGCGTCTAACAGTGCCTGCAGCTCCGTCTGATCACTGGTCATCAGGCTGAACGGTCTTTCCACTGAGTCCGCAGGCTCCACGTAGATAGCACCATAGAGACCATCATCGAGCTGGGCTCTCATGTGTGAATGGTATATATATGTTCCATATGCATCTGCCTTCCACTTGTATAGAAAGGCGTCGCCTGGTTGGATGGGGGCTTGCGAGATTCCAGGAACACCATCGGACCACGGGGTACCTTGTTGTACGATGCCTATCACCCCAATGTTAGTACGAACCGGGAAGGATGCGGAGAGAAGAGATGAACCATGCATAGGGCGACTTACCGTGGAAGTGAATGGCCGTTTCGAATGGCATGGAGTTGTTGACGAGGAATTCCACATCATCACCTTGCTTGACTCGCAACGTTGGACCAGGAAGTTGGCCGTTGGTCCAGATGGCTTTGCGCGTATTGCCAGCTACCTTACCGTCCTCCCATGTTAGATCGACATTGAACTTCACCGTTTTGCAGGAGGCCAGTTCAATGAGGCCAGTGAGGGCCGCCAGAGCCAGCCCGGAGTAAGTGAGCTTCATGACTGATGAAAGACAGAATCTATCCGATTGACCTTAACAAAAAGGGAAATGTTCAAGTCGGGAAGCTGGGTCGATGGTGAAATTCGGCCCGTGAGCTGGGGCCGGGTTGTCGTATGGGTTTGTCGTTGTACTTTCTCTGAATTCCATTTGGACTCTGGCAGGCTGTACTTATATTATCAGAGATCAGGTCTAGAAATGTGCTCGGTTACGTTGTGCTAGCTGAACCCGAGCACCGGAATGTAGACCAGCTCCAAAAATATCCGGCTCGTCCCTCCACAGCATCGAGTTAAGTCCGAGACCTGTCATTGGAAGTCTTGTCGATGCTATCATTGATGGCAAGCCTACTGCATTCGGACTTGCCACATCTCTTTGTCTGCGACTCACTCTGGACGACTGAGTTCAGATGTCTTGATGCATAAAACATGTTCATACGCTCTATACTCACTTGTCTTAATCATGATATTGACTGCTCCCGGGGCTCCAGCTGCTCTCTGTCGCCGAGAAAGGTAATCTCCGGAGTCGAGCTCCTGGATTGGCCAAGCATGGAAAGATCGACCTCGATATGCTGTACCCAAGGTGTTGTTTAGCTATCGGATGCAGGAAATCCATGTGTTGAGGCCCTGTCTTGGCAGGGATCGACAGGGCAGCGGACCCACGCATGCGGAATGAGGAAGAAAACAAACATCCTAAAGGATCCAAAGATGCTGTCATCGTCCGGTAACTAGCGAGGGGGAGATGCTCGGTCATCTCCATAGTGCCAAGTTCAAGGTTGCATGGAGGCACTGTGTAGTATCAATCTAGTTCCCTGCTTGCTCACCCATTTCCATGGACCTCAGCAACGGCCCGTCGTCGCATCCGCACCCGCGCCATAGCAAACCATTGGAACCATTTAAACCAACTGTCAGACTCGAGATTGGTGCACAAATCATGAAACGAGTGTGCTCATTATGGAATTACACAGTCCATCTGCATCCAAGGGACAAGTGATAGATAGTTAGAGAGCAGCAAGATGTGCAAACCACCGTGAGCGCAACCGGCAATAGACATGCACTTGGCAGCCGGGACCGGGTCAGCTTCCAGGGCGGTAGTCTCGATCGGGAAATGTTCACATTCCTGGGTTGACCTCCTGGTCTACCTGTCTTTGTTTGTTTATAGTCCAGCATTCGAATCCATAGAATCATTGCGGAGCAACCATGTGCCTTTCTCGAATGTCAAAGAAAACTGAATTTGATGTTGGTCGGCTATCTAAATCGGGCTCCCCTCGTCAAGGTTCTCTCACAAGTCACGTAGTCGATGATGGTCATTGAGTACAATGCCGACTCTCTTTGCTCCATGACTCACCCCAGCGGGGTTGCCTTGATGAGCGTCGTCATGATTAGGTCGGGATTGGCTGATAATGGTACCATGCAGGCGACTAGTGCTGCATCAGCGGGATAATCCCTCAATTCACCATCGACCGAGTCTTATTAACAGAGCCTCAAGATGGCGTCGCTATCCAAAAATTGCTGGCATGTCATGTCTTCCTCGGTCGGAGAGTACAGATCTGCCCAACAAATGTCATGTCTTCGAGTGAAAGAACCGGTTTAATTGCAAGCTCTGGAAATGAAAGCGATCCAACAGGCCTCAGCTCTACGAATAGTCCCAAGGACAATAGTAGCGGCACCAACAGTAGTACCAGACTAGCGATTTTCATTGCATATCTCGGTATGCCCCTGTTATTACTGGGTTCTTCCACAATAGCTAACAACACCAGGGGCATTTCTTGCTAGCTCTGACGAGTCAGTCGTCATCGCGACCTACGATGTCATTGCTTCCGAGTTCCATGAACTCGCCAAAGGCCATGGCTAGTGACCGGCTATAATCTGGGCTACTGCATTGCATTACCGATTGTACGTGTCTGCTCTCCATCTAAAATGGATGAAACCCATTAACCACAGAATATTCGTTTGTACAGTAGGGCACATTGGCAGATGCATGGGGGCGCAAGTTATCCATGCTTGTAGGATACTCCTTCTTTGGCATAGGCTGCCTTATCAGGTCGGTTACCTTCCAAGGACGTCGTCTTTGATTCTCTGTCAATTGTCTCACTGGCCAAACAGCTCTATCAGCGCAGCAATGACTGGGTTGATAGCAGGGCGAATCGTCAGTGGCGTCGGCGCTGCTTGCATGGCCATCACAATCTCGATAATCATCACAGGTGGGTTGTCATCTTCCTTCACTATGGTTTAGCTCACACTCAATGTAAAATTAGATCTTGCTGCTCCGCGTGATGTTGCCCTTTTGCGGAGCTATACCAACGTTGTAGCTATGATCGGACGGGGCGTTGGGGCTCCAATAGGTAGCATCGTGGTCAATTCACTTGGTTGGAGATGGTAAGGAGTCTTGTTCCGGAGTAAGATGATGGGAACTGACAAGGACAGGGCGTTTGCTGGTCGGTTGCCACTCATTGTGCTCTGTTTGGTTGTGTCCCAAGTATACTTCCCAGACCACCACAAAGAGACCGCCGAGCCCCAAACTTCCCACGGGGGTAATATCAAGCAACTTGATTACTTGGGCATTGCTACCTTTGCAACTGCGGTCGTGGCTCTGTTGATGGCCATCACAATTACAGGCCAGGAAGGCGGCAAGATGTCCCACCTCTATTTTTGGCTGGTGATCTTCACACTTGCAGCAATCTTCTTTACCTTGCACGAGATTCTGTGGCCGAAAAGACCGCTGGTGCCTCTTAAGCTGGCTACCAAAGGTATCGGTCAATATTGGTTGGTGGAGCTCCTGATCTTCAGCGGGAGAAATGGGGTGAGTGTCGCACATGGAGAATTTTGCATCCGTCCGGATGATTAACCCCGCGCAGCGTGTTGCTACTATAACTCAATACCTCGCCCAAGTGAAGCGTCTTCCGGAGGCTACGGCTTCAATGTACCTCGTTCTTTGCACGATGGGACTTGCGGTCGGGTCCATGACTTCCGGCTTCGCCATCCAGCGGTAAGTACGACGCCTTCGTCTCTTGTATTTTCCATTCATGTCTAACCCGAGCAGAACAAAACGGTACAGAACGCGAAGTCTTTACTCCGCTGTCATCAGCATCCTCTCATCAATACTCCTCTTTTTCGCTTGGCATTTTCGACCATCCGGTCGCGGAGTCTTTGTTGGTGATTCCCATGAGTACGCCGATTGGCATCATCACCTCCGGTGATTTTATCGGCATGTCCAGTCGCGCGCCGCCAGAGGTCCTGGCGTCTTCGATTGGAGCATACTACCTCAGCCAGCAGCTGGGTTTGATTGTGGGTGCAGCAATGGGACCCTTGGTCGTGAGAACTGGGTTCAAGCACGACATTGCCGGGCGGCTGAACGAGTCGGTGGAAAATGAGGTAAAGCATAGCGTTGCGTCCAGTTTCTGGGGCGGTTGGTAGTCTGGACAGTGGAAACTAACGCGACCAGGTCATCCGCAATGTGCTTCGCGATGCCAAGTACGTCGATACCCTACCGGAAGATATACAGAGAGTAGTCCGTTCCTCCTTGGGCTACGGATATCAATTCGTACCAGGTAAGCAGCTAGCCTTCATTGGGTAGGAGGCACAATACTGACTCGGCAGTACTTGCAACGGTCACTGTTGCTCTCTGTGTGCCCAGCCTGGTGTTGACGCGCGAACAATCGGTGGAATAAGCAGCCCCTAATTGCAGACGGTGTTAGGATAGGGCTTCGTCGATTAGGCTGTGCCGCGCTGTGCGTGAGATGAGAGTTCGAAATGAATTCTCTCTTCAACAGTCTTAAGTATTCGGTGCTGTCAAATATACAAGGCATGCGTGGAAGGAATGAAAGCCGAGGGATCGGCAACTTTGGCTTTTCAATGAATTGGATCGCCTCGGCTACGCTTTTTATATAATGGAACAGAATGAGGTTCAATTGCAGTCATTCAACCCCCAGATTCGTTTCGCACTTGACGGGTGGTGTCGCCGGTTTTATGTATCCAATTGACTTGGTCGGTATACGGTAAGGACTCCGACCGAGTCACCTGCAGCGGGTTTCAAGCGTCGACTCAGAATATAGCGAATGAAATCAAGCCAATGATCAGATGTCCACGAAACATCAATTTGCTTATCAGCACATGCTCGAAGAGTTATCTATTTACACGACCGGGTCCAGGTCGGGTCTTGCAGTCCGTGCAGTCAACACCCCTACCGTGTCCCACCTCAAATGGCACAGTAGTAAGCCGGGGGCGCCCGGGAAATCTAGAAGACGCCGTTCGTAAAATCGACCACCTGCACCTTCTCAATGTCCCCGCCCAGACCCTTGACGAAGGCGAGATGATCGGGGTCCTTGTTCAGGTAGTACTCGCGGTCTTCCTCGGACTCGAACTCCATGACGAACACATGAGTGATGCCGTTCTGCGACAAGAGGGTTTAGTCCACGCAGAAAACAACTGTCTCGCAGGGCTGAAGGGAGTAAGTGCAACGTACGTTCAGCCCTTCGGGCGAGTTCTGTTTCCCGGCTCGGAAGGACTTGATGTATGCCGTCTGGGTGGTCGGATGAAGACACTTGTCCTTCAGCGCGACCAGATTGCTGCATACCTAGCGAATTATTATCAAGGCCTGTTAGCGAGGATGTGATGGTCGGCTCGAAGTAATAGCACGGCACGCACTTCTTCAACCCGGTCGGGGCTGGTCGAAGACTTAAATTGCACTTGCACGATGTGGGTGATCATGTTGTCTGGTTGGAGCGAAACCGGTGGTTGTTGTTGGTGTTGTTGTTGAAGAGGGGAATGGGCTGGGCGGATAATTATGACGATGCCCTGATAACGCACCAAGTGGCGTGTGGGGAAAGAGGTGGATCAGTCAGCATGATCCTGGTCGGTTTTGTTAGTTTAGTTGCGAATTTGATTATGTATGAGTGGACAGCTGAGCTGGAGGATTCCTTCACAATCCATTTTCATCGACTTATCTGCACTGCATGACGGTTATCACTAGTATCTACTATATGTAATCGTAACTCGGCGAAATGAACAGATTAGTAAGCTTGGATGCAGCGTCAAGTCGCACTGTGGGCATAAGCCACAGGCATTAGACTCAGAGTGTGATCAGCAAGGTGTAACGGTTATGACACTATTGGCGAATAAATCTCCTTCTCATGTCGACAGGGGCTCTGGCAGATTTACGGTAGAATATCTATATGTAGGGACGAGTAGTTAGTGGTCTTGTCGGGTTCTTTGGACCAGCTCCCGTCTCTGGCCTCTTATCCTCATGCTTATCAGGAGAGCAACTCAGTACGGACATATACTAATAACCGACTAGCAGAGGGCGCACAGTCCCGACCTTGTCCAGAGATGTACATCTATGGTAACATCGACTTACCTGACTTTGCAGAAAATATCACAAGAACCATAATATTGATCATAATATTGACATGCGGGTAATGTCAGCCACTTTGCATAGATATACCGGTACTCAATCTGCATTCTTGCCACAAGTATGGACAGCATGCTCTATAAAAGGCAGCATCTCGCCTCTAAGACTCAACGAGCAACACAGCAACTCACTGGAATAAGAAGCCTCAACACCCCCAGACAATACAGGAAACATGCTCATTTACTCCGGCAAATTCAGCTACTCCCCCTACGCCACAAACGAACTGTTCTCGGTCGTCTTCCGCGACAATGTCCAGACCGGGGACCGTGTGGCCGTCATCCTTCAATGGTCCAAGGACGCAGGCGGGCAAGTGAAGTCCAATTCGAATCACCACGGCACGGTCAGCAAGGTGTCTACCAATGGTTCCGGGGAGAAGGAGATCGAGATTTTCCAGAACGAGAAGGACAGCACCTACTATTGGTGGGGATTCCTGTGCATCAAACCCCAGATTATTGCTGATGAGTTATCGATTTCACTTCAGGTATAAGGGAAAAGTGTCCGGGGAGACCATGACCTTGAGTATGTGGAATAAAGGGGGAGAGGAGGTTACGAAGAATATCAAGCTGCAGCTTGTTTTCTTCTGATGGAAGCACTTGGCTCAAATGGTGGGGCCTTGTCGCTGTGCGTGTGTTGCTTGAGTCCGAGTCTACCAAATGGGTTTATCGGGGATGTAGCTGAGACCTACATTCCATTCTTCGGGTTTGATGAATGAACATCTATAGGGCTCAACTTGCGTCGAGCCATGTCCAGAGCAATGTTCGTACAAACACATGGATGGGCTGATGCGGCCGAGTGATCTTTGTATAGAGCTCCAAACATTAGAACTGGAATCGCATTCCAGTTTCCTTGTTTGGCCGGAAGTCGTAAAGTAATCGATGTTGACATGCGAAGTACGGTCTCAACGCATCTCTTGTTGAGGCTAGGGTGCCAGAAATAAGTGACGAGCACCCCTTGACTAGGCATATGTGACTGGGATTTTGAGGCTACAGTGACACATGATTGCTAGAGTGGCGCCGTTCTTGCTCAACATTCGACTACAGTGAATTGTACTTGTGACTTGTCAAATGAGCGGCCAATATATGTAACATGATATCTATGATTGAAATAAAGTGGAACCATCCCCGTCTTCAGATCACAAGTTCAATAGTAAATCTCATGATATACGTAGAAGTATTAGTTGTGACCATTCGACCTAGTAGATGCCTTCGTCATACAAGGTTTGCTCCGAGTGATTGTGGATGGAACCGAGGGGCTGCCACGCGGCGTCGGGGACCATTCGGGCTTTCCGAGCCTGATCCACAGGTTGAACCTCGAGCCGGTAATATTACTAGGACATATGACATATAAATGAGAGGGCCCTGAGCATTCTAGGCAAGCCCTAATAAGAGAAATGCATAATTATAGGCTCGGGGCAAATTGCAACCCTTCAGAGCCGCTCCCCGAGTGGGGTAGAAGACAGGATGCCACAGTGCCACCTCAGTCTGACAGGCGTCGGCTTCCCTTCTTCTAGAACCCGATAAATCGCCGACTGATGGTTATTGATCCCTCATTGGATGATCCGTGGATTGAATGGGCAGGACCCCGAGTCGGTGTTAAGGAAGTGGAGCCCTAACAAATAAATTGTCTAAATTGTCAATATCCCGGATGACGGCGACGCATGATGAGGGGCAGAAGAAGAAAGCGAAGGTGATGGAATGGAAATGGATCCCGACTGACTGATTGCGATGGGATGGAAGACGGGGGGTAATTTCTATTCTCCGGGAAACCCCCTGACGGTCCCGTGACCTGATCCGGGCAGTCGGTACCGGCCCCGGTCGGGGAGACTATCTCCTATCTCCTCCTCACATCCATGAATCTACTTCATTCCAATTTCATGGTTCTTGACTCGATCCTATTCGTATTTCATCAACTCATCCCCTCCAGGGTGTGATAATTCTCCGACCTAGACTCTAAATTGGCTTGCCCCTTCATTCATGTAACAAACTTTCCACCCTCTGCCCCTCAGCGCATGCCTGCACTTTGGTCCCCGAGTTCAGGTCCCTCCTGTACTCTACACACAAATCGCAATCAGCTGCAAGTAAACCCGAACCAATCTCGAAGCAGCATCAACCAAAAAAAAAAAAAACATAATGCCCCGTTTCAGGTTTCATTGCGCTGATGGATGGGAATGGACCCCGGAAAACTAGACGCATGAAGTCATGAACAGCCTCCAGATGCAAGGCTGTCGATCTGTTGCAATGGGCCAATCTGCGATGGTCCCCGAGTCGGGGTCTCGCGGGATTGGATCCTGAGGATCCAAATCTCGGGGTTCAGATCCCTTTGGCTGCAATGGATGTCTTCAATTTCCCAGAACGCCTCTCGCTCTTCCTTTATAATTCACTGCGATGTCGTCAGCCGTAGTCCCTGGATCTGGCACTATGAATCAGTCTCTATCAAGATCATGCAGGATTCCGGCAAACCCTCCGCACTCGCCTGTGTACCCTGTCGGCGCCGCCATCTGAAATGCGATGCCCGCATGCCCATCTGCACTCGGTGCCAGAACAATAATCATGATTGTCGATATGTCCGATCACGTCGTGGGCTGCGGAGTAACAAGACGGGCCCTGGACCGACAGTGGAAGAGGAGGCCGATGCTCTGTTCTCGTCGAATATCATGAACTGGCTAGATGCCTCATTTTTAGATGTACATACATAGCCTTCTCCGCCAAGCACTTATCGAAGACGTCGTCTTGCTAATGGAACTAGCCAGATTCCCTCCTCGACATCCCTGACCTGAGTCTTGATATTTTCCATCAAGATCCAGCGCCAACATCGCCGACGCCCGTGCATATCCCTCATGCCGAGGATATCACCCATGATGCTATGATTCAGCTCTACTACCATCACTTCCATAGATCGCATCCTATACTATTACCGAGACGGGCGCTGGCATCGTCCGTTGCACAGCATATACCAGATTATATTCCGGACATCATGCGCTACATCGGCAGTCACTATACTTCTGCTCCAACGCTCAAGGACAGCTTTTATCAGTCCGCTTACACCGTTCTCACCGCCCCGAAAGATGGCTTTCAAGCCCAAGGTCTCCTTCTACTCAGCATCCTGGAGCATTCGCATGGTCGCGAAGAGGCCGCACGACGACTTCTCCGGGAGGCCGTTCAGGTTGCATACAGCATCAGCATGCAGACCCAGGCGTTTGCCCCGGAGAACTCCCACGGCTACCCCGTGCTGGAGGAAAGCTGGCGACGAACCTGGTGGGAGCTCTACGTCACGGAGGGTCTCATGGCCGCCATGGGCTCCGGGCAATGCGGGGTGCTCTCTTCAGGCTGGGAGGGCTCCGATGTGTGGCTCCCTTTACCAGAGGAGACTTACAACATGGTTGCACGAGGGGGTAGTGGTGACGAAGTAGGCACAACCCTGACCCCATTCTCATAGAAGGTCCTGATCTGACAGCCAGCCAGACGAAACCCGAACCCCTGACCCTGTCCTCCCTCTCCGACTGGCCATCTGACCTCACCTCTCCCGTCGCCCGCATCCACGCAGTACAATTTCTTCGAGCTGTGCTCGAGCTCAATCAATCCCTTGACCCTGCAACCGAGACACAAACCGAGACGCTGGACGCACGGCTCGTCTCCCTACTCATGCGCTTACCCTTAACCCCCTCAATAACCGACGCATCCACTATCGACGAAATGGCCTTCCAGGCCTTAATGATCACTTACCTGTATGCTTTCCGATTCCACCCACTTCTCTATCACCCATCATACATATCCACTAAACAAAACCATACAGGAGTCTAATCCACCTCCACCACCCCCATTCGACAATCCGCTTCGCCTCCTACCAACGCGCAAACGCGCAAACCACGAACGCGGCAAATAACCCCGCTTCCTCATCCTCCTGCACAAGACTCCGCGTCCTCAGCCCATCATCATCATCATCATCATCACCAGCATCCGCATCCGCATCCGCACCATCAACATCGAACCCCACGAACCCCATCCCCGCCCCCCACCTCCCGCTCAATATCCACGCCCAGAAGATGCTCCGAGCCGCCGACCTGATCTCGAATCTAGCCACCCTTCCCAGCTCCGTACAGTCCCGCACCCCCTTCTTCACCTGCGCCCTGGCGCTCGCCATCGTCGTGCACACAGCGACCTTCATGATGTGCGTGCCCTCGCCCTCATCGTCTTCTGCTTCTTCCCCTGCTGCTCCTGCATCTTCCACCAAGGGAGCCAAAGAAGATGCCCTAAAAGCGCGCATCGAGCTCGGAGTCGGGGCCCTGCAGGTGCTAGGCCGAGTGTGGCCGTTAGCGAAACAGGTGAGAGGGGAGATGATCGAGCTCTATCGCGGGAGGTGATTTTCGCTGATCCGCCGATTAACCATAATCACCCGTCGCAACCTTGACGAAAAAAAAAAGACAAGGACAGTAAAGAATCAGATGAAGTGGCAACGGTCGCTTTTCCTTTCATCATCCTCACGTCTCATGCTATTCTTGCATTCGCATTTGGGAGGGGCTTTAGGTTGGTAGATAGCACAGCACAGCGCGATTCATTTCTTCTTGCATTATCTACATATATCCTATATCACATGTTCTTGCAATATGCAATATATATGAGATTTCAACAAGACGTATATCTTTTTCAGATTGCTTTTCCTTTTTTCTTTTTCTTCCTTTCGTGTTTTTTGTACTTCAGCTTAGTAGAGGATTCCCTCAGTATTGGTAGGACCTTTCACAATGTTAACAATCCCGGTAGCTTTACTCAGACATCTGGTTATGGTGAGTTATTTGAGTCGAGAATGACCTCACTTTGCATGACTTAGTAAATGCTAACCCAGTTAACTACGGGGAGAGGTCGAAGAACAGCGCTGTTTAAGGACGGCTCTAGCTTAGCAAGCATGACGTTGGGAATGCATGGTGCTTCTAAATGAGAGGAAAACTTCTATGATAGGTTTGTGTATCTCGTTATATGTCTGGAATTCATGTATCAGAAGGTCAATATATACATGGGCATAAGTATTGTGTATCGGTCGGGGCGCTGACAATCGACCCGGCAATGGAAGAAAAAGGAAAAGTCAGGGGATGAATGTCTCAAACCCCAATAGGTCAGGGTGAAGAATGAAAGAGGGACGTGAAATTAAATGTATGGTATGAAAAAGGAAATGTGAGTATACAAAGCGTCAAGGAGTCCGGGCCATCGGACGGGCATCATGTTGGGGCGGCCGGCCACTGCGGTCTCTATCTTCCCCACATGCGGGCTGCTTGCCCATTGCCTCTGTCGGGAGAGCCATCGAATGACCCCTTGCTTGAGTGATCGCTCGCCTCGCCCTCTACTGGGAAGGCCGGTTCGCTGGTGATCTCGATCGTCGTGTGCTGATACACCTTGCCCAGGGTCGACAGCTCGACTCCGCTGGGCTGAACGATGTTGTCGGTTGAGCCGTCGCGTACGGTGCGTTCCAGATCCTCTTCCTCGTGGCGCGCCATGCGAAGGGCACTGATGTCGGTACGGTTGTATTTGGGGTCAGCGGTGATGGTTGTCAGATGATTGTTGTCCGTCTTGCGGTTCTTGCTGCTGGCGAACTTGTAGCTGTTATCGTGACTGGGTTCCGACTCCAGGATGAGATTTTTGCGAGTCAGGGTGTACAGTAAAGCGTCGACCAAGCCGGAACTGGTGATCATAGCACCGGCGACACAAAAGTAAGCGACGTTTGGAGCATCTCCCTGGGCGGTGGCCATGCGTCCGGCAGCAAGAGGAAGGGAGAGCACAATATAGGCGATCGGATAGATGACCATGTATCCGATAACACGACGGAGGCGCTTGAGACTCTCGATGTGGCTATTGCCCAGAATCGCGGACTGCTTGATGCGGCGGCGGAGTTGGAACCAC